AGGTATTGCAATAAATAATGAACTCTGTTACATTGAGTGAATTTTTAACAAAATCAGTCCATAAACAGTATTCCAAAAGTGAAAAAAAATGTAAGATGGACAAAAGACAGACAGATGGGACAGATACATTATACCTCCTGCTTAGCAAAAGTTGAGAGTATATGTAATAGGCAATATTAATTAATCTAACCCGTAACTACACATCAGGGGTAAGGGGTATGCCATTAAATTAAAGGCATAACCTTCCTCAATATAAAGGATAACAAAACAAGAAATTGATTTTGACAGATATTTTATTGTGGAAGAAATAAATAATGGTACATTATCATGAATATTGTTTCCATAAATAGATTTATATTCTAAGTGATGAAAATAACTCGCATCAAACCTACAGTGAGAAACAAGCCAAAAATACGACGATCAAAGAAAATCACCCAAAAAGATACACAGTACATCATGACACTACCTGAGTGAAAGCAAAGAAATTTTCAACATTAACTCCTCAATATATTATGGTAGCCTCTGTTTTATTACAATCTCTATTAAATGAAATACATGTACAATCTTGAATGTTTTGTCAAATTAATTTTGGTGATGAACATAAATAATAATTTGATTTAGATGTTATATGGAAATGCCTAATAGCTACAAATAAACCTAGGAAATGTACCGCTCAAATTCCATATCTTACGATATAATGTCATAGCTACCTATATAAATTTTCCAATAAATGAAAAGATAAAATTGCAAACACAACCACTAAAACCCACTCAATCATAAAATAAATATAAAAGATTATATACCTGCTAAAAATGAACGATGGAACACTACAACAAAATCAATACAACCAAGTGCAAAATGACATACTGAACTTCAAAAAATACCTTTTCAGAAAAGAAAAAAATACAAACTAACAGTCACAAACAATATTTATCGTTTATCAACCTAGTGTAGAATACCAATATGTCATATAACATAAAGTCAAGAAATCAGTCAAGCTTCTCAGAGAAATTATTAGTTACTATACAAAGCACCAGAGTATCTATATGTGCTTCATGAGTGATGTTTCTATCAGTTGAATATTTTCATAATAGAAATTAGTCTCCAGAACGATCAATCGGAGAATGAATGACAAAATTATGGAGGGATTGATTCAATGAAATAACGTCATTTGCATTTTGTATTGACTATGGAAGAGGATATCAAACATTTAATATCAATGACCATCTGTCAGACACCAATTTGGTTTCGACAGGTTGATATAATACACAGGTTTTATGCTTTATAATAAGAAATTATGATACCTGTATGTAGGGTATGAAAAAATGTCGGAATACTCAGGCGTCAAGATTATACAGATGTCTGAAACCTGATACATTAGTATTGAAAGACCAGTCAAAAAATGTGGTCATACTTATATACAGAACCTTAAAACTTTCCAGAAAAATATTTTGGGGTCAGAATGTCAGAATACATGCAGTGACAGATAGTAACAAGAATGTCAGAACTCATGAAGCCGTAATATCAAATGCTAGGTATAGAAAGATTTCATCTTCTCATACTGTACAGAGATATTTCATCATAAGAATTGTATCTTTATCTATATACCATAATATAAGCTTAAAAGAGCTATTATATTCGATATTCATAAATTATTAAAATAAATGTATAAACAGATAAAGTGTAAATTCCATTAAAAATACTTAGTAAGTTGATATTTTGATGGAAATCACTAGAAAAAACCACACAAAAAATGTGAAAATGAGATTAAGGTGTCAATGATAGGTATATATCAAATGTATAGATGGACATTATTGTAACTGTAAATAATAACTGTAACAAACTGGTTTATAATGGCGAGACAAGCATCATCACAATGTATATATGTGTCCACTCTGATATAATACTGATATAATACACAATTAACAGAACCAAAGTCAAGCATGATACATAAAAATCATAGCACATAAATTGTCATTTTTTTTCTTATTTTTTTTTCTCTTTAGCAATAATAGTGTTAATCTACTATTTATACCTAATCCCTAGCATCATAGACAGATAGGGTGTTTAAGGGTACATACAATAGTATTAATCTACTATTTATACATAGTCCCCAGCATTATAGACAGATAGGGTGTTTAAGGGTACACAATAGTGTTAATCTACTATTTATACTTAGTCCTCAGCATCATAGACAGATAGGTTAATTGAGGACACACAATAGTGTTAATCTACTATTTATACCTAGTCCCCAGCATCATAGACATATAGGTTAATTGAGAGTACACAATAGTGTTAATCTACTATTTATACCTAGACCCCAGCATCATAGACAAATAGGTTAACTGAGGGTAAGCACTCTCAATGATCTGTAAGGGAATTCATAATTTCTGAAGTAAAAGTAGATTGTGCTACCAATTTAGCATGTCTGGATACAGTCACATGAGATCTTACAATACACAAGACTTTCTGACATCAGGAAATAAGACCTGACCAAAAGCCCATCAATATAATTACTGCTCAAATGCAATTGCCAATATGTTATTCTGCAATAAGCATGTCATACTATTTCATCTATTATTTTGTACATAAATACAGCTCATAAGTACGTCTTAAAAACATTTCAAGTTTGCAGGGTTTGTTGCCCTTTCAACTGCCAGATAGAGGTGGGGTTTCAATGTAGTACCTGATGGATACCTCAATGAAAAACATACAAGAGACCTGTCTAAAGCTGTCCTGAGCACTAAGACTAAAGTATTTTGCTTAAAAGGAAACAACTAGGTCTGTACGGACTGGTTCATTTCTCAGCTTCCTGAGAAATGCATACCACCATGTACCTCAGATCTCTACTTAAAGCTACGCAGGCCAATGCCGTAACTGACTCAGCTATCATAGCCTCTAAGAACCAGAAATGATCATACACAATAGAACGACTACTGTATAAACATACACCTGTTACATAACAATAATGATCACGCAACAATGTAAAATGAGACTTTTACAAGTAAATGTATATAAAATAGGTATCAAAATACACTTCAAAAGTATAAGATCATTCTCTGAATCCATATTTTCGGATAGTCAATTGTTATAAATAAATATATTCAAATAACTACAAAACTATATACCAATTACAAGACTAAGGCATGTATTACTGGACAGTAAACAAACTCTAACAGCATGATTTGTCACTACAAATCTTTTCTACAAAATATAATGAATTAAATGAGTATCAAAACATGAAAAGGCCAAAATGGCAGTAATGAATATGATATGTATTATCACAGACTTAGATATTCTATATAGAAGTCTGTGTTTCTAAGTCTGTGGTGTTGTAAACATGCACTGTGCTGTAATTGCCATATCTAATCATCGATAACAGGACTTTGTCTTTGAGTTACTACAGGTAATGTAACAGACAATAAGCCATATCTAATATCTTTACCACTAAAATCATCAGTCTACATTTAGATATTTAATACATATAGGTGTTCTCTGGACCACTGGTGTATAATTTGTGAGCCTCTGTATTCACTCTGCATTAAGCCAAAGTTTGGTGATAAGCTCATTCATATCTTCCACTCTTCAGCAGAATTAACAACAAATATCACAAAATGCCCACACCTTTCGATTGAGTCAGAGATGGTCTGAAGGCCCCTAGAGGTCTTGTAATAGTCCCATACCTCACATTAAGTTAGAAAATACGTTGACTTTGAAGGTTTCTTGTAGTCAATGAAACTGCTATTACATTTATGAATGTTTATTACAAATGTAACAATTCAGAGTGAAAATATGGTAGGTTCATACAATAAGCCAAATGTGTCCCACATACATTCAGGCAAAAGGGTATTGTGTTGAAGTAAAGTAAAATTTTTCTCAGTCATAGGAATCTGTATTCAAATTAAAAATTAAATCACATAATATAAAATGTATTCAGGATAGATTGAAATATTTCTGGAATTTGAAGTGGAGGTTGCAAATAAATAACATTTCAAAACAACTTATGAAGTACAAAATCACAATGATGAGTACAAAAATGATATTAGACAATAGTTAATTATATACAGATGTGCTTCTTACAGAGTAGTTGAAAAATTAATTGAAAAAAAAGCAGTTCTAATGATTATTACTGCAGTGGGCATGTTACATGTTCATCTTTCGAACTTCACCAAAGAGCCATCACTTTCAAACATGGTGTAAAAGTTTGTGCGGCAATACAAGGTATGCTTGTTACACAGAGGATAGAAGTAATCTACACTCAGTATTAAAGACAGAAATATAAAGCTCTATGTAAGAATATACATTTTACAATGTACAACAATGTAACAAATATCACAAATGTATACATTGAAGAGTGGTTGGAGGGAACAATGGTAACATAACTGTACTCATTTTACACCTAGACGTCCTGGGTTTGACTCCCTTAATGGACAGGAAAAGATATTGGGTAACATTACTGACTAATCTTCCCTCCTACAGTAAGACCCATCATATGCTAGTATACAGGCCAATCAGAGTGATTCATATAAGTCTAAAGCCTGTTTCGCAATTATTGTAAAATAACTTGATTTATATACAATGTATGATATCATATTTAAATCCTTTACAAGTAAATTAGTTGTTTTTGCCGGAAAATGACATCCAAATGTATTCATCACTTCAGTTTATACATGTGTTTGCAAATATATCTAGTACATCTCTTTGGTTTATTCATGTGCCTCTTATTTTGCCCTTTCAGAAATATATTGATTTCATGTAAAACAGATTATTTTTTCTAATGTGAATGTTCATACATTCATATTGGCATGTCAGGAATATATTTAAACATTTTTGCTAAATATATCAAAAATTTCCAAAGTGTTGACATCATTATTTCAGAGTGAAACTATATTCACTTCTGTAGTAAAATTTAACATAAGGTGATGGAATCAAGACAGAATTTTCTTAATTAAACTTACAAATAAAAAATGTATTAATCAATTACATTATTATAAGGAGCCAATAAAATTGAAACATCAATATCTTTGAAAAACTCAATGAAGTGTAAAAGCAATGTAAAAAAGCAATATCTTTCAACTCCCAAACAACAAGATAATTGAAAAATATGGAACGGCGACAATGAGAAAAACCAGTTAAATTATGATGTTTTGGAATCAAATTATATTTTCGAATTATGCATTAGTGATAAGAAATACAAAACAATAAAATAAATACTGGTAAAAAAACCAAATCATTAATATACAGCGTTTCATGCAAGCTTCCAATTCAGCACTCTTCCATCATATAGATATAGCCATCTCTCATGACAAAACAGAGTTGATGTTTCACCAGGTAGGATGGGTGGAGTGATAAGGTGGAGGTAGTCTGTAGGGAGGGGGTACACCAATATCATTGAGGAGATATTCTGGTGGTGTTGGGGCACTACGGTCAGGTGTAACTCTCAACAAAGGCAGACTTCCACTTTCCTCATCATCTTGTTGCCATTGAGATGGTTCATATTCTCCATTTCCAGAAATCAAGATTGGTGGTCGGGGTTCAAGCGAGCTGTCTTTTCTCCGCGTCTCGTCTGGGAAAATGATTGGCTTCCTGTCCTCCAGATAGGTGGGAATCTCAGACTTCAACACATATCTCTTCCTGCGATGGGGATATTTACCACTGCACACCATGAGTATGATAACAACCACAGTGACAATGAGAAGGAAGGCAGCACATGGGACAACAACCTCCAGCCAGTGGTCAAGGGTTGGCTTTCTCTTCGACATACCATATTTGGATGGCATTGAGGGATTGAGGTAAGTGTCCACACAGCTCTCAGAGAAGTTCACAGAGACCATATCCTCCACGGTAAAAACCGGTGCCATTAAACAAGAGAAAGCTGGTAGAGTCATATCCTTCACTAGATCCTGAAGGTAGGGTTTACTACAGGTACTTATAGAGGAGCCTGATAATGTGAACTGTACAATCATCTGGTCTCCTTCCCAGTCTACACCTACTACATAAACATCTACTTTCATTTGTATGCTCCTGAACCAGGACTCAAGTTTAGAAACAACATGCACAAGCAAAGCTGCAGTGTCGTCATCATCCTTGCCCTCTGTTACTGGGGTCACTGCCAAGGTCAGGGTGTGAGTAACCTCTGGTAAGGGTTCAAAGTCAAGGTGTATCGCATCTCTGGATTTCTTACCACATGTATCTATGGCAACAAGAGTAATGCTCTCAGTTACCATGGTATCTGTTGTCAGGGGTAAACCATACAGAAATTCGGCTGATCCATCGATCTGGAGCCAGAAGTTATCAGGCACATCCTTACCATATGGCAACGTTAACATCTGAGTAAGAGCTAGATTATCTGTGCTTTTGAATGTGTCACAGATACTATACAGGAATGGACGACCCACTTGAACCTTGAGCTGGTCAATAGGCCTTTCAAGCAATGGAGCATCACCAACACAATGATCTGAAACACAGGAAGGAATATTTTACTTGATTATCATTAGTAGGTTTAATTACACTAATTAGATTGAAAAAGTTCTGCAAAAAACGAAGAGCTATTTGTTAAAAAAATTATCATTTCTCCCATAAACCCTTGCTAATTATGAGCTATCAACTATTTAAGTTTCACCTTTAAACCTGGTCATGTGTTTTTCAAATTTCATGTATACTAATAATTATTCAAGGAATATGAAAACCAAACATATCAAACCCCATTTTACACCACACAATGCATTTCATGTCACTCTCAACATATTTGATAACATGCAGGTAACTGTTTTGTATTTATATGATGTTTATATGGTCCAATATTGGTACTGGGTCCTAACAAAATAATTTTCTTTGGATGTGTATCAAAATTTGTGTAAGAGATTTAGTAAAATTCATGATTGGATCTGATCAGGTTTTAATCATATCAGCAATAAACATGAAGACATTTTGACCCTACAAAGTAAGTTTTTAATCACGACTTTAAAAAAAGAAGGACTATATGGTATGAGACTGATACTTTCCATATATTAAACAAATGCTGAATTTACTCCTAACAGTCGAGGGTAAAATGGAAGCACTGAAACTAAATTAATGCTTTATGTTTGATTTGATGTGAAAAGTAACAACACGTGGTTAAACATATAACGAACACATACAACATGTATAACACTCTTATGAATCAAATAGTAATGTCTGGGTCATCCCATTTAATTCGAGTTACAGAAACAGCATCTTTTCTTCACAATCAAAAATTCAATTGCCTCCATCTATTGTTATGCCTAATTCTCCCTGTGATCGCTCGAATCTGTGTTTAATTATCATTTATACTTACCTAACAAATCTCATCATGCAACATGCTTATTCAACAGGATGGTTGCAGCTTTGACTTGACCAATGACCCCATCCATAGTTTAAACAATAAGTTCAAACAATACATGCAGATGTGTCATGCAGAAATCATTCACAATGAAGTTAGGTTATCTCCCCTGTAACAAGAACATGTAAATGAGTTTACATAAATTGACTGCAGAGATTAGTATCAAAGATCATTCTTTCTTGGCAGTGCCGGTGACTAATAGAAAAAGTTTTGCTTAATAGTCTGTTATCAATTTATCCAGATCTGTAGATTAACTGTAGATAACAAATTTTAACATAACAAAGGGAAAAATTAAACAGCACAGATAAACAAGAGAATAAGAAGTTAGTAAGTCATACAAGTCAAAGGGCATGTTAGGTAGACGATTCCTTACTGGTCTGGGAATAGCAATCCTTTAAGATGTATTTCAAACTCTGTTGATGTACATGTACTAAACTCTGATCTGTAGACCACTTTCATGTATTTGTCCATGAATGGTTATATTCATGACAGAGGGTCATAACTGTTTGCCAGGTTTTAATATTTCCAATTAAATTTCATCTCAAAATAATACTAAAGCATGTAAGCCACAGACACATATTGCTGCCTTTTCGGAATTAACCTTGAAATCTTTTCCGTTTGATAATGTTATCAGATTGTGATTTTAGTAAATATCAGTACACAGAATTTGAAGTATAATATTTCAATTTAACAGTGAAATAAACTAACCTGAGCAATTTAGACTATAAAATTGGATCAGAAAACTTGAAATTAGGTGATTTATTTTGGTATAGAGTAAATGTTTTTTTTATATAATCACATAATCATAGCTGTTGTACTACAGACCATCCCTCTGTTTACCTGTACCAATTATATTTTACATAATTTTGAAACATTTCTTCAGTTTCCTTAAGGAAATCAAAATTACCATTTCAAACCTTTAAACCATCACAATCTTATGAATCAATAATCACAGGCAGCAATTCCATTATATTCCATAGTAAACAAGGGAAGTAACAGATATCTTGTTGAGGACAAATAAAATTACATCATCAATATTTCAAATCACAATTTAAAAATAGTATTAGTTTTGTGTATATAAGAATCCTTGTTCCTGGATATCTCTGATGCTAAGATGATTTAATTCTTAGGTTGCATAAAATACACAAACTCACATATACATCTTCATTCAAAAAGTCAATTATGTATAAGAAAAACATGCAATATGTATATATGATCCAACAGTAACTTTTCCTATTTCATACATTACAAGTTTGTGATATCAATATACCTATGTTAACTGTGTTGATCACTGGAGCATCCTGGGCAAGTATTGTCAGGTCAGCAGCCATACTACTGTTACAAGTATTGGTCATCCTTGGGTGAGTAAGGTCGAGTCTGACCATGGTTACACCCGCCTCTGTTGGAGTACCATACAGAGTTGTAGATGTGGCGTTGTATTTCAGCCAGGCTGGTAAGGTGGTTACCTGTGACAGAGAGGTCAAGCTTTTTTCAAAACTAGCAATAGTATTTCAGTAGTATTTAAGCATGCAGCATGCTGTAATTAAAATGTGTATCTAGTCATTACATGTCAGTTGATAAATTAAAACTGTCATCAAGATTTTCATCTTCACCAAATATTAAGGACAGAAGTACCATATGTTATCATGGGGATAGTTCTGTGAAAGAGGTACCATATGCTAATGAACGGGATAGATATTGCATGCCAAAAAGTTTCTGTATAACGGTATAATAAACATCTAAAAGAAACCCATTTAAAAATGAAAAAAAGTGCAGACAAATTTCTTTGTTAATTGGAGTGTAACTATTTATTTTTCAGATAAAGGAAAGTAACTTGGCAAACCAGATCTTGGCCACATAGAGACATGGGGGACAGAAGGATGGAGGGAGAGATGGATGGATGGAAAGACTAGATGATTCCAGTATACTTCCCACCCCTCTCCCCGATTTAACTTTGTTACGGAAATACATAGTCAAGAATAAGTTACTTATAACACCAACATACATGTATAACACCATCACCCTTGAGATAAACCTAATATATAACATTTATCATCCTTGACATAAAGTCAATATATAAAACATGGTCTCTTTGAGAAAAAGCCAATACATAATACTAATTTCTATGAAATACTATCACACAAGATGAAGTTAATATAAAACAATGATTAATGAGATTAAGTCTATTAAAACACTGTCCCTTTTGTTGTTATGTCTTTAACACTGTAAATATTGAATCCAATTTCTTATCTCCTAACACATATCCTCTAGACATGGCATTCATGCTGTCTCACCAGTGTTGTTTTCCATTGATGTGCATGTTCTGGGGATACAAACTGGTACTCTATTTGTGTATTAAGGTTTGCAGATATTGTGTGACGAGCCTGGACTCCCATTATTGTCAGGAAGTTGTAGTTGTCTTCCTTGGAAGTGGGCACCTGACAAATTCCATACACAGTAGATGACAGGGCAGTCATTATCCATGACAGCCAAATGAGACAGTCAAACGTAGGACGCATCTTAACACACCTGCAACAAGCATATAGACAATATAACTATAGTGAATACATTTTAGTATCAAATTAATACTGAAATAACCCATGCAATAACCCTTCCTGACCCTATTTTAAGTGGGAGGTTAAGCATTGGACCCTGGGCTTATTGTAAGATAAAAACAGTAATAGCATAATACACTGTGAATGCATTGCACATACAATAATTTTTTTGTGGTTAAATGTAAATAATCATTGTAAACATTGTAAGTCGTCTAAACAAATTAAGATAACTCGAATTTCCTCAAAACTGATAATGAGGTAGGGTGTTTAATTAGATGTGAGGTCAATAGTTCGAGCCTCATTTTTCATTACCATTTCCTATTTTATCCAGAACCCTTCAGAACTAACCATTTATAAATAACTCATGAGCTCTCAAATGTTGTTTCTGAATCAGGATGTTAAGATATACTTATGGAAGCAATTTGTGTATCGTTCAAATATATAAACATGAAATATCAACAAGAAAAGACATTTGTTTTGCTAAGATTTTAAAACCTCCCTTCATGCCAATATTTTGTTACTGTCTTATGATGTAACAATCAGTTATGAAAGGAGAGATGATAATGTCCATATTTATCAACACTTAAAGTGTAACGTATCTTAAACAACGATTCAGAGCTGGTTTTAAAAATCCGCCTTGACTAGTCTTTCCGTGGTACTTGAATCCAACATATGACAGAAAGGATACACATAAAATAATCTGTGTCACTAAGATGTGCACCGAGAGGAAATTTCATGCCCTGTGTTAGTATTTGTTGTCTGTGCACTCAAATTCTCTCTGATAGTACATTACCGCTTGTCCTATATAATGTTCAGAGCAAGTAGAACATAGATAATACAATACACCAGGTTCCTACTTTGTCTAACCATTTTTTTTTAGATTAAGCAATATCCTTTTTATATGTATGCACATGGTCTGCATCTCGCATCCCAAGCTGCATTTTAACACTTAACAGTTGCATTATTCTTTGCTGTCAAACCTGGCCCTTGTATGAATTCTTTTGAAACTTTTCTTGTTGTTGTTTACTCTGGATAGCGCCTGATGCTTGAACTAAATTGTGTATCTTTGGGCTTTTATGCAGCTAGGAAATTATGTCTTTTCTATTATCACCACATCATAGACAGTGTAAAAAGCAAGGTAGTCTGCATCAATCCAGATTCAACTAGCTAGAGTTTCAAATATATAGCTATAACATCAGACATTTTAATGGAAAGATGACTGGTGTTACTCGCACTTAAGACAGAGGTACAAATAATCATACCCATGTATCTTGAATTACAACTGGCAGAGTATGAATGTTTTAGGCGGGTTTAAAATGTCAAAGTTCACTAGATTTTTTTATGGTTGTCAGAGCCAAAATGTGCTTGAAACTGAAGTTATTGGGAAAATATGAGTTGAAATACTTAGTTATCAAGTTGTAATGTCCATCCATGGCTTTGACATTTATGTAAGTTAGTAAAGATATGTGTTGTTTTTTTTTCCATCAATATATTATTAATCTGGCACCTCCCTGTTACACATTACATTAAAACAATGTCTGAAGGAAAACTCATGCATGGGTCGCTGAAGTGTTTACATTGGAAGGAATACCCAGCAGCGACCAAAAGAGAGAGAAAGTTATGAATACAGAAGTCAGAAATCTATGGATTACCTACTAGAAGTAAATACTGTTTATATTAAAAGATTATTAATGTGCTTTTTGTAAGAAAATTGTATCTAAACAGCCTCCTATCGCTTCTACTGGCCTAGCTATGTACATATGCACAACCCTTTCAGTAGCAACAGTCAGTGGCTATATATAGCAGAATAACTACAGCTAGTTGTCTCAGGAATGAGTTTATGTACCAGTCTTTCGAAGCAAAAATACAGATAATTAGCTCTCACTAGTTATGTGAATACCAGAACTTTTACAATAAACGAAAGTCCATCAAACAAACCAAGGTCACTTGAACTTTCTCCTGCAACAGACCATGACATAACAAGATCAGTGGGTGGTCGAAGTTTATCAACCGAATACAACTTTATAGACAATAATGTTTCAAATAATTTCCTAATTGTTCCATGAAAATAGACCACGTCATCCTTTTACTTACTTGCCAAACAAGAATCTATGTAAGTCAATCAAATATGTGTATTACGCAGAACACTTTTGTCAACCGAAGGTGATCAATCATACAGCCTCATCAACATTTTTTTTTGTCATGCCAAGATCTAAATGACGCTTGAATTATCCTATTCAAAAAAGCGTTTCATTGACACCGAATCTCTCACGCCGGCAAGGGCAAGATTCGTCGTCGGAAGTCGCAGAAATCAAGGGTTCTTGGGTGTAATAGGCTTATTTCTGTTAAAAAATATAAGTTATGGCCAGAATCTTCATGACCAAGTTGCTTACTGCAAACAAACAAAATGTTATCGTCGTTTCCAGACATTGTCAGTCAATAACAGGGGTTCAGAAAGTAGACGACGTGTTGGTAAAATTGACTGGAGGCCGGATTTCGGGATGGGTCGAGGTGGTCGGTCAAGTGTCTGGACAGACGGAAGTCAGACAGTCACAGGACGCAGTACTCGTGGTAGGCCCGAATTGTGATTGAGCAGGTCGATTTCAACATTTCAAGACTCATAGATGAAAATGTCTCATAATTAGGTGTTTGATAGACTAACATTTGACAGGTGGTACTCCGTAGGGAAAGTCTAAATTCCAGGTAGAGACACATATTTAGGTTTTTACTTCTGGAGTATGGCAAGCTTGAATGAAATAAGACTCCATATCTACTGATATGATCAATTGATTTAACATGATATTATGACATTAAGAGATAATGTTGATATTACATATAAATGTAAAATACACATTGGTACCAGTATTACACTACTTTACACCATAAAAGTAAAGACCAACAGGTTTGAGAAACAAATTGAAAGTTAGATCTTATGATAGCATTAAAATGCTGGAAAAAGGGCAATAACTCTTTTTAAACAAATTCATCCGATATGTGAATCATTGTATCTCTCATCACTGTGCCATTTGCCATATCTTGTTGCCACAAGTTTTCATGTGAATGTAACATAAGATATGAAGTAGTTGTAACAATATCATACTTTCCATTGTAGGCTGAGCAACTGTTTGAACAGAAGCAAGATGAAAGACAAAAACAGACTCGAATTCTGAAAGAGTTGCAAAATCAGCTTAAACAAGCTACTGAGGAGAGGGAATCACAAAATAGAATAAGAGGGACACCAGAATATATGAAAATAGTGGAGAGAGAAAATAACTTGTATGGTCAGGTAGATGAACTTCAGTCAAATATAAATGTTCTTGAGGAAGACGAGAGGAAATGTTTCATAAAAATGTCATCATCTATTAGATCCAGTCAGGCCATTGAGCGTTTTCATTCTCGACGATCTCAGCAGTTTGGGTATGTTTTAACCATTGTTGGCGTTTGTTTAGGAGGAATCATATCCTTTATTGTCAATCAACAAAAGATGAAAGGAGTTTATAAAACTGTGTCATCATTAACGGATTTGGCAGATGATTATAAAGGTGAGATGGAAAAACTCCGTGAACAGAATAAGCAACAACAGGAAAAAATAATTGAACTTATGACCCTACAACATGGTAAGCACAGTGACTCAGGAGTTAGTACCAAGTCAACAAAGCAAAGTGCGTCAATGGAAAAATGCCTTCAAGAGATCTTACAGACTGTCAACAGTCAAGAAGTTGTGCTGACCAGAATGGGCAAAGATTTTGGTGATCTGAAGACACTTCACGAATCTGATATTGTCCGAGACAGCAGAGGAGATGCAGTTCACGTCGGTCCAGAGATGAAGAAAATACTTACTGAAAATCAGAAACACCTGGAATGGAAAATAAAAGTGACAGCATTAGTGAGTCTGGTGTTGACTGTACCCATCATTTACATTGTTAACAAAGGCATTGGGGGCAGTTGATGTGAATGAATTATAGAGTACAAATTGAAAGTACTGTGTAACAGATTTATTTCACAAAGTCCCAATTTTGCCACTTAGTAAAACAAATCAGGAAGTCAAATTTCAGGTATGTCACAGTGTAATGTCAACTCTTTCTCATTTCATAATTTGTAATTTTGATATATTCCTCCGGTGATTTTGTTATATTGGTGGAAAATCTTGAATGGTATGTTTTCAAACAGGATAGTGGAGCTAGTCAAAAAACATAGATGATTGTTTCTCAGTTTTCACAGAAATATAATGTAGAATTATTCAATGTCGTCAAAACTCTACAAGTGTATCTCCAGTAACATCTGATTTACCAAAACTTTTTTGACATCTTTTTTAATCTAACCAGTATCTGGTGTCCATATTGTTTAATAGTCCACAGATTTCACTCTTCTCTGTTTCCTGTTTTGTTACTTATGTCTTTAGTTGCATTACTAGTTCCAAGTCCAACCTTGTAATAAATTATTTTTTTGAGGACATTTATTACTTCAATAATACATAGAACGATTTACCCGGTATTAAGGTATTCATACAGAATTATTTTACAGTCAGGTTTTTTTTGCATTTGTTTATGGCCAATGGCACAAATGGTGCCTGCAGCACTAGACCTAATAAATTATACTGGTAATTATAAGGTCTATTTTCTTGCAGATTGATGTGTGCATATTGTCATGGTGTCTTAATTTTCTTATACTGAATCCCTTATTAAGAACATATAACTTGTAATGATAATCAAATACAAGTTTCTGTAGTCATGGCTACACTTTATTAAATTGACAACATGGAATATGTCTTACAAACTGGTGATTAAAAAAATGAAAAAAAAATAACCTTGGGTGGTTTCTGTTCTTAGTGCTTGACTACTTGTTGAAATACTAATGTAGTTCAATTCCAGTATCAAAATAAGCATTCATAACTTTAAGAGGCAGCACTTGTGTACATTTGTCCTGCAACTGATGCTGCCATTGTCCAAATATACCTGCCACATATATTTTTTGTTGCATTTGGCACTGACGGGAAAGAGCTGTATTTTAGCTTGTGCCTTTACTTAACAGAATCACAAGTTTATTTATGAAAATTCATTAAATCCCTGGTCAGTGTCTTAAAATACAAACTGCATTTTGGCTTGGGACAAAATGACAAATGTTGGTGTCCATTTTTTTCTTTCTCCACCTTTGCCAAAACACAGCTCATATTTTAAGACACTGACGATGTATTCTCTATGCATGTTTTCAGGATGTGTTGTGGTATTGATTCTTATACAACAGTAAATTATATTCCATCCAAAATTTCATCCGATTATTTTTGCCATTTTATTCAGTGACATGTTTGAATTTTGTTAAGCAAAGCTATTTACAACATATCGGCGATTTCAAGATTTTCATAGTGGTTTGAATGTTAGGAATATATCCTGTATAAAATCCTTTTTTGTAGGTTCTATATCATTGCATATCATCAAAATACTTCCAATAATTTAATGACTGACCAGAAGGCTTCCATATTACTGTTATTGCATTATCATTACAACATTGATGTAGAAACGCTTTTTTGATACAGTTGCAGAAGGTATTTTAATTGGTACTACCTACCTGTCGGTGAAAAAATGTTTCCATAGAGTACATGAATATGTTTTATTAGGTAATCGCCTCATAGAAGCAGACAATATCTTAGATATGCAATTTGACTTTCTCCATCCTAAGATGAAGATCCAAGGGGCATAGTTTGACACTCCTTACCCATGGTGGTTTGTTTCTCAGGAACCTGAAAAACCTGCCATCCTGTGCTGACAAGGTTATATCCCCTGTCATGGATTTTCGGATTTCTCAAATTTCTTAAATAGAATTATTTGAAATCTAAACATGTGCAGTTTTTAGAATGAATTTGGAAAGAATATCAATTTCTACTGCTTAAAAATATGCAAAAAATTTAAGGTAGTTAGGTCAGCAAAATCCTTATCTTAACAAATGAGTTTATATGGTCCATATGGCACAAGTGATGTTACAAGTGATAAATGTTTTTGTATTTATTGAATTTGTGACTTTTATTTGTGTTCATTTGCGTAAGTGTGCTGTTTCATTACATAATCTAGTAGGCCCTGAATCGACATACTATTGTTTTTGCATGTTGTACATGTTCTGGACAATGACTGACCACTTGACCTGTGACCTGTGCTGTGTTATTATTTCTTCCTTTTCCAGCCTAACCTTTCTTTCTTTCCTTACTTTTGCACTGAAAAGACATCTTGTCAATATTTTACCATATTTTAACCGTCAGGCCATACACATGGTAAGTCTTTGATTTATATTGCATACTAAAAGATTATTTACTATTTCAAGTAAGTAATTCAATTATCTTACATTGTATATTTTCAAATGATAAATCTGTGCTAGATAAATATATCTCTTTAAGTAATTCTCATCTTATGTTTAGATCTTGTGTAGCATATTTATAACAAGAGGCCCATGGGCCTTAACGGTCATCTGACAAAAAGCAAGCCAAACCTAGAAAGTGGGTATATTTTCAAACTGATAAATCTGTCCAAGCATCTTACAGGCCCAATATCAGCACTATATCTTGCTTGTTGAAGAAGTATATTTTAACATCTGTGACCTTGAAAGTGGGTTGATGTCATTCATTTGAATAAACTTGTGTAGCATGCTATTTATAATTGAATGAAGTCCTTTGTATATTTTAACTATATATTGACCTTGAATATCAATTTTTAGGGCTCCACCAGCATGCTATGGGCCAAGTATTAGTAGGCCTTCTAGTATTTGAGAAGAAGTTATTTAAAGATTTTGAATGTTGAAAGTTGTTCAAGGTCATGTGTGTTTCATGTGTGAATCTGAGCCTTTTGGTTATTGAGAAGAAGTTGTTTAAATATTTTAACATATTTGACCCCTGTGACCTTTGAAGTGGTTTCATTCATTTGAACAAACTTGGTAGTCCTTCATCCCAGCATGTCACAGGCCCATGTTACACTCTGAGCCTTTTGGTTAATGAGAAGAAGTTGTTTTTTTAGCCTTTAAAGTGGGTCAAGGTCATTCATTTGAACAAACTTGGTAGAGCTCCATGCCAATGGAGTATTAGCCCCCTAGACCTTCTAGTATTTGAGAAGAAGTCGTTTGAATGAAAAGTTTACGCACGGCGCACGGCGCACGACGACGGACGAAGCATGATGACTATAGGTCATCGGACCCTTCGGGTCCAGATGACCTAAAAAGCTATGCTATATATTTAATATCAATTTTTACTACAGAGCAAGTATGTATTGTCAGTAACATGAATGTCGCTGTGTGTTATGTGCGAGAGTGATTTGAGTGCATTCCGTGACAAGTTTTACCATGTATCGTCATATGTTATTCATATTGTTTTAGCTTTGTTTTTGAGAAATAAATCCGATGGAATGACTCCGTCTGGTTGTTTTTTTGCTTGTGTTCAGATGGAGATAATGCTTAACCCTCAGATTGCTACATATGGCTTATATAGGATAAAGGCTTTGATTTTAACAGAGTTTTCAAAATTGTGTAGGCACAAAATATTTGGGTAGATAGTGTTACCCAAAACAGGAAATATCTTTTTGTTTTATCTCACTGTTTCTTTCACTTTTAAACTTTCTTGACAGAATGGAAGGAATGATATACTGTGACATCTTGATCTTTGATAATATTTTTGATACAGCATGTTCTTGAGGTGATTTAATCTCAAAACACAAAGCTTGATTCTATAACAACCCAGTTTGGGACAGAACTCTAGTAGACGGAATTATTCCTTTAAAGATGGCAACCATAGGCATGTCGGCAATGTTAGGATTGATTATCACTTCATTTTTTCATCATCTGATTAAGAATGACTGATGACTTGGTGAATCCTGCCAGTTGAAATTGAGATGTCTACAATGCTAGAAGTATGATTAATGGGCTATGTTCTGTTCCCAAACTTTAACCTTCAGAAAAGTCTCAGAGATATTAAAAATCAAAATAATTCCTAAAATAAATGGATTTATTTAACAACATTCTATTTGAACATAGATAATTATCTTGGAATTGTCCAATCAACAAGCACACTCCATCAAAATCATGAAGTAAAACTTAACGTTTCATAATATTATTGTTCATTTTCTCATTTATACTCTACAACATTCACTCATACACCTCTCATACCTGGTAAATTCTTACTGATCAACAAAATACCAATGGACTTCATCCATTAAAAGAACACATGCATTAATTTAAAATCCTTATATTTCCTAAAAGTAGCATCTTCCAAGTAAATGATCATTCTAACAGTTTTTTTTTCCTGTTAAAACTCTTTCATTTTAACATCAGGAATATCAATTAACAATGTCAGTAACATCAACTCAAAATCTTACTTTCAGATTAAAGAATAAATAAACAGACTTCCTTCAAATCCTATTGCTTCTGTAATACAATGTATAAAAATTACATGAGACCGTATAAAATACATGTACCAGTATATGAAGTAGATCTCTGGTCATTTAAACACCTCTTTACATAATTTCCTTTTTGTCACTATGAAACATTGTATCAGCATTGTAATTCAAATCTTGATTGGCTCCCTTCACCTACCAATGATTCCTCTATATATCACAATGTAACATTATGATCTGTGACCCATCTGTTCATTATCAGCTCTATCATCTGCATGCTACTTCTTTATTAGTTCAATTGTTCTGTCTTTCCCTTTTATCAGTTAGTCTATGGTCACTTCACCTTTTAGAAGTGTCCAGTCTGTTTCAATCTTCCATATTTTTTTCGTTATCCCCCTGTCACTCCATCTGTCCTTTGTAGTTCTGTCACTCCATCTGTCCTTTACAATCCTGTCATTCCATTTGTCCTCTACAGTTCTGTCTTTCCATCTTTTCTTCCCATTTTGTCATTCCATGTGTTCATTCAAAACTGGAATTCCACCTGTCCCTTTCAAGCTTTCACTCACTTGTATCTTCCTCTTTTTATTTGTCTCTTACCAGCTCTGTCATTCCATATGTCCCTTCCCAGCTTTGTCCTTCCATTTGTATCTTCCTAGCTTTCTCTTTTTATTTGTCTCTTACCAGCTCTGTCATTCCATATGTCCCTTCCCAACTTTATCATTCCATCTGTATCTTCCTAGTTTTCTCTTTTTATTTGTCTCTTACCAGCTCTGTCATTCCATCTGTATCTTCCTAGCTTTCTCATTACATTTGTCTCTCTGTCATTCCTGTGATGCACTGGCTGAGACCTCTCCTTCCTCCAATACAGCTTGCCATTGCGATGTCCACTGCTCAGGGTCACGTCCATACAGCTGCAAAAATTGATCGAAAACACATAACAAAAAAATTAATTCTTTGTCACACTGCGTTAGTTCATGGCAGTCAATGTTGACAAGAATATCTTGAAGAAATGTTTCACTATGTGATCACATACACAGCCTATTCCCTTCTTAATTATTTTTCTTGCCATTGCACTGACAAACCATTGACTGAGATGATGAGTCTAGATATTCATGCTAGTAAAATTTTAAATAATGTAGGTTTCATTGTGATATCATTCAATACCAAACAACAACTTGAACATTTCATTGCTAACAACAAAGTAGATTTATGGGACAATATGTGAAAACCAAGATCTTGATCAATAGAGATGGTAACATAAGTACCTGTAACCTTGTCTTACAAAGGAGAAATTAACACATAGATTAATAAATGAACTAAGAAATGCACTTGTACTCTCTCGTCAAACCACTGTATCACTTATTTGACAGAAGGTCTTGTAATTAAGTCAAACATACTTTGGTATCTCTGTGCAGTTTTTCTGCCTGGTAACAGTCTCCTTCAACAGGCAGAAAATCTTGCTATGTAAGTTTATGTAGCACTTTCCCTTAGTTTAGGGAATTTAATTCATAATATATATTTAGTCTCTCTACCTATGTGTGTTTGATGACATGAAGATAAACAACTACACCTGTACAACTTGATGACTCACCTGACTGACAAAATCCAGACAATTCTTTCTGGATATTTCCTGCTTGGCTCTTTGTCCCCATCTGAATTCATAAACTGGAGGGTCGGAGTTTTGCTGGCGAGTATACTCTAGGTAGCACTGTCTGGAGAACTCCTGTGTAATCAACTTCTTGACATCCCCAAACACCTCATGGTTGAAACTGTTATAAAATTATCACCAACCTGAATATTTATTGTTTTAATGTTTCTGTTCCTATATCAAACCTTTATTTTTTCCCAATGAAGTTTCAGAACTACATGGTAAAATTAATCATTTTCTGTTTAAAACAGAAAGATCTTGTATTATAAGTAATGTTGATTGTAGATGCCAACAAAACAACGAACACTAAGGCCTTTGTTTGTGAAATTAACCTTAACTTAATTATTAATTCAAATTTGACAGTTGCAGTTGCATTACAGTATAAGGGAATGTATTGACAGGCCCAAATGAGTTTTCCATACAACAATAAAAGAAATATTAATTTAAATAATTCTTGAATAGTTTTCTTAAAAGTAAAAAAAAAAAAAAAAAATACGTACTCTGTGTCAATTCCAAGTTTTTTTAGTGTGTGCCACATGTAAGCTGAAAACAGTAGAAAATTTCAAATAGATCATCAGCATCTAGATACATATATTTATCTAACGTCACAGTATACTCATGATACAATATATGTAGGTCTACAAAATGAGTCCATATAGATTTTTTCAATGATTGTGGTGTCTACTTCAAGTGGTGTGGAGGAAAGGCAATATATCACTTTACTGGCAAGGACCAGAGAGAACATTTGTACCGATGGAAATGCACTCATCCTTCATCACCCTTTCAGGATCATCTCCCTACTCAATGCTGAGGAGAAGATCCTCTCTTCTGTGTTTACCAAATAAATGAGAAAGCAAATGAATGAAAACTAGCGAAATCAAAGATTCTGGATTAACTAATATTTAGTAAAGATGGATACCAGTATACCTAGGATGCACTGAGTACACCATCGTCATTACAAAACTCATGAGGAAGCTCTGATCGACCATTGTAACCTCTACATGGTGTAATCTTGGAGGAACTTGCCTAAGTATCAATCCTACACCTGCTGATCAATGTAGCCTTGAAGTCCCATCATGTCCAAGACCTTCAGGTCAGGTGAGCTAAAAATTCTGATGCGTGAGTAATTTAATAAAAAGTGGAAGCTCAAAGTGAAATTGTCTTTTGGTGTAAATCATCTACACAGACACTCTGAATTACTTACAGTCCAACATGACTTGTCCATTCATGAAAATGAGACTGAGGATGACCATAAGAAGCCCGGTCTTAGCATCATCTTCCTCAGGCCTGAAACAAATATATAATTATAGGTAAAAGCATTTAGTGACAATGTTCAATATAAAGTTAATTCCTCTGTTCAAAAACACAAATTCAATATGTACAAAGTTCATAATTTTCAATGATCATTTGAAGATTTTCTTTTATTTGTTTTTTAGTTTTTTAACATCGATACATTTTATTACATTGAAGAGTTGGACACGAACACCAAAATGTTTGCTTAGCAGTCAATAGAACTACCAGGTTATCTGATAGACATGTCCGAATTATTCTAACATTCTATCAACTTTCATATAGTCTTGGAGTCAATAAACATCAGAGTTCTGTCTCTATAAAAAATTATATAATAATAAGCTACTTGTGCATCGGTCAGGTTGAAAGTCCTCACCCAGACTCACCACACCTCAAATGTAAAGTCTTCAACATGACTCACTACACCACAACTATAAAGTCTTCACCCTGACTCACCACACCTCAACTATAAAGTCTTCACCCTGACTCCCCACACCTCAACTGTAAAGTCTTCACCCTGACTCACCACACCTCAACTATAAAGTCTTCACCCTGACTCACCACACCTCAACTGTAAAGTCTTCACCCTGACTCACCACACCTCAACTATAAAGTCTTCACCCGCAGGAAAAGTCATCACCTTGCCTGACTACTCCACAAAGTTAAAATCATCACCACGTCTCATTTTTCATTCCTCTCCATGACTCACTTCTTAGCTCCACAAGTCTTAAGGTTTCAACTTTATTCACTCCTCCACAGGTGTGAAGTCTTCACTCTGACTCAGTCTTCCACATGTGTTAAAGTTCTTAACCTGACTCAATTGTGTATTGTCTAAGGTCTTCAAAATGGCACATCTCTTACATGTGTAAAGCCCTTCTCCCTGACTTACCATTCCACGGGTGTGAAGTCCTGTCCAGCTTGTCCCTCCCTATTTTCCAAGTCCTCTGTATCAGTGTCTACTCTGTTGACAAGGATGTATGAGCCTTTCAGTTTGTCCTCAAGAGCCACTAGCTCAATACCAAACACCTCAATAAAAGATAATCATGAATAAAGTCACTGAAATTAATTTGAAATTAATTTCAACATACCACTTCATTATTTAATGATTTCTGCATGAATTAAGCCTCCACATGATTTCAAATTTTGATTGTAAATACTATAAAGTAAATCTGAAAAAGAAGTGGTACAAGATATAAGTTATATATGACCCATATTATTGTTATCTTAGCTCAATGTAGCAAATGAACTACTTTATTTCACTATCACAATGGATTTAGGCCAAGGCCAAAGTTCCACTGTCATTGGAAAAAGGATTCAAATTCTATTCACAAAAACTGAAACATGATACTTAAGCACAGGAATTTAAAGTCTTCATTATAGTTAGTACAGTTTACAGTATTTACCTCCAAAAGTGAATCTCCTGCTTTCTGCATCATCACAGGGAAGGCTCCACGATGTTCCTTCAACACATGCTTGTTTATATCTACAAGATATTGTTTAACTACTTAAATTGTATAGATTGTACACGAGTCACAAGTACAAAATACATAGACTCTAAATACATGTAATATATTCAGGAATGAAATCAGCTTCTTGGCTATATAGCACTCCGTATGTTTTAAAAATATTTCTCCGAACCTCAATACTTGTAAGAAGTAATATACCCTGTTTCTTTATGGGGAGCTTTTTCTGGTCCATGATGAGAAGATACTGTACAAGATCATGAAGTCGTTTTTCTCGGTCAGCAGGGTCCATATTGGCTACAGCCTTCTCAGCCTGAGTGCTGTGGGCCTGTGATGCAGAGGCCTGAGAGGAAGGACCAGGCATGAACTCCTCATCCTAAAAAATATAGAGAATAGTTTTTACCCTAAAATAAACCCATTAAACCTCTGACTTCAAAAAGCCTTGATGATCAGAATACATGATGTATATAATTACAGGGCAATGAAATAACATTTCTGGATGGCATTTCCACTTAGATATATAGCAGTTTATATATGAATGACTTCTAATATGCAGTGTAGTATCTTATATAGTCCATTAAGGTCTAAAAACCTGTTGTCCCTTTATTTGCATAAATTTCTTTGTATATGAGAGTAAAAACACATATAAGATTGTCAGAATCCTTCAGAAAATTAATTCCAAACGATGCTCCATGGAATCCTCTCAAACAACCTTGGGTTTCTATCAAACATCCTAAGTAACAGCAACATGAAGTCCAGAACAATCCGTCAGGGGAGGAGGAGAAGTTCTCTAGCCAAGTGATACTATGTGGTTAGTATTAACCAGGTTACACACAAATGGTTGGTACCAAATGATCTCTGACCAATCTCTGATTTCTCGAATATATAATTGACATGGTCCCGCGGAGTTCTGATTTCTTTAGGTTTTACTATAAACACATAACAATCTCAGACACAGTGGCATGTAACAAATACAAACATGTACTTGCCATTCTAAAACTGTCTTTGTGGTACACTGAAAAATACATGTGTATCACTAAATTGCAATTATAGCAATCAACACTAGCTATAAATAGCTATTATAGGTGTATCAAGCTAGGTCGATCAGTAGAGACAATACAAATAAACAGTTACGTTAAATATACTATTTTGTTCATATTCAAATTATAATTTAGATTTACAGAAAAGATTCTTTGTGGAAGTGACCTATAGACTTGTAAGACCTATAGCAAAACCTTGTAAATAATCACATAGGTTAAGATACTACTGCATTGAATGGAAAGTCAAGAGGATCGGAAAGTCAAATGATGTGTATCTTAAACGCTTGGACAGTTATCAAAATTAGAGTGAATATTCATTTCGTTTGATCTTTTTTAATACACATTTTTACATGACAAACATCCTCCTAGAATAGATATGAAAATAACCTAATAAATAATAGTATGGACACATTTCAAGTCATTCATGTATTTGTTTGGTGGCAGTTCAACAAAATAGCGTAGTTGACAAAAAATAATTCTTAAGGAGTCCCAAACTAATAAACCAAGGATACAAACGCTTACTGCATCTTTTGATAGCTGCTTTTTCGTTTTCGGCATCTTGATCTTGTTTGTTCCCGCGAAGTCATAGTCTTCAAAACGTTTTACTATACACTTGATCTAAAGAAAGCTTGAAATCGAAATACTCGGAAAGCCTCTTGTTTCTATATGAGTTTAAATGCAGGTTCAGTTTACATTTCATCAGACTAACTGACACGAGTACGTTCTTATCTGACAAATGCCAGACGCGGTACTTTATCTTCTCTCGCTCTCACTCATGGTTCAACATTCATGCAGTGCACATAACTCGAGTGTCTGAATTTCATCCTATGACCAACGCCCGGAGGAGTACGAAGCTGCAAATCGAACCGGAGATCCGGAATCCAAAATCGTCTGCTTTACAAAGAACACAGTGCATTTTGAGAACAGAAATTTCTGACTTAAGCAATGAAGGGACCAGAATTTCTGGCTGGAGCCGCCAAGGCAGCAACATATAATATGCTTTTACAGGTAATTGAACGGGCGATAGGGCGGTTTATTGTTGTTGTATTGTTCAGCACTGGTTATATATCTACATTGAATTCAAGCCATTTTGGCTGCTGAATTACAATTATGATACGAGACTTCTTAATCAATTGCATGTTTTTAAAAAGAACTTAATTGTTTTTGTAAATGATTTGAAATTTTACAAATGGATATTAAGCAATATCATATGATGTAATTTTTAAAATATGTATGTGTTTGTGACCATATTAAACAGCTGGGCTTTGGAGGTGGTCTTCAAGGAATGGGATAATATGTAGTACCAATCAACCATGTTTTTGCTGATTTTCTTTTTAATTGTATTAACGTAGCATTGGCTAAAAGTGAAATAAAATATAGGATGGCATTTCAGTTGTAAATAGCTTTAACATGCATTTTGTTTTATAATTATCAAAACAGAAATTATTTGTCACAAAAGTAATCACAAGCAAATTGAAAATTAAGCTTTCTACTACTGCTTATTCTGAAAAGATTATTAATGCCTTTTTGAGAAAAATTGTATATAAATATAGTGTGTCAAACTTCATTGTTATATCATTACAAAAGGAACTGCAGCTGTTCTTAGACCGTTGTTGCTAGTAATCTTTGGTAATGATCTCCAAAGCTCAGTCAAGTCAGATGACACTAAATTTTTCAAATTATAGAAAACAGGGAAGATAGTATAAGCTTACAGAAATATCCAGATACTATGAGCAACACGTTGCTACTTAAAATGCATCCTAACAAGAAAAGGAACCCATAGTTTACACTTCTCAGAAGAATATTCCACTTTTTGGTAAATGTCGAAGTACACTTACATTTTGGCTATGCTAGTCCTGTGTTGGCAACATATCAGAAAAAGTATATCAACAAAACAGAGGGAATTCAGAGAAGGGCAACTAAATGCCTTCCTGGCATGCGAGACCTTAACTACAGCCAGAGCTTGGAAAAACTTAGCCTACCAATCTTATTCTTCAGGAGAGTTAGAAGAAAAATGACAAAACTTTATGAAATTTTAAATGGAATATATGGCCAGGAATGCTGTGATTCAGTTGTAATATGGGATGATGGTACTCCATGACAGAGTCGTCTAGAAAACTCAAAAACAAGAGACCTTAACTACAGCCAGAGCATGGAAAAACTTAGTCTACCAACCTCAGCCTTCAGGAGAATTAGAGGAGAAATTATAAAACTTCATGAAATTATTAATGGAATATATGGCCAGGAATTCTGTGATTAAGTCGTAATATGGGATGACGGTACTCCATGACAGAGTCGTCTAGTAAACTCAAAAACAATTTTTTCCAAGTGTACTTCAACTAGATTAACAAATAGCCTTTTGTCAATTAGAATGGTATCAATATGGAACAAATTATCAGAACAACTTCAAATATACTCATTAAGTTTGAAAAAGAGTTAGGTTCATACTGGAAAAACTAAGTTCTGTTTTTAGCTCACCTGGGAAGAGTTCATGCCGTCGTCTGGCACCAATTTTTCAATTCAAACAACTTATTCTCAATAATGGACAGATCCAGGGTACTGATATTGGGCTTGTAAGATGCTAGGATGGAAGGCAAATGAGTTTGTTTAAATAAGTGACCTGGACCAACTTTCAAGGTCACAGGGGTCAAATGTGTTGACGAATCAATTTTTTCTCTGTAAAGGAAATGCCAATGGTAATGACATTGGGCCTTTAGCATACCGTATTACTTGTTCCAATGAATGACCTTGTCAATCTGCATTCAATGTCACCCTGGTCAAATGGGTTGAAAACATTTATAACAACTTATTTTGAATATTCGCCAATAACATGCTGATAGATGGCTTCCAAGTTTGTTCCACTGCACAACCTTGTTAAAGTTTCAACATCATGATGTAAACTGTTCTTCATGGGTTGTTGAGACTTTGTACAGTGACCTTTTAATGCTACACAACTTCATGTCAGATGAGCCATGCAGGCCCATACGACCTCTTGTTTAACTACAGAGTTGAAATGCTTAATTTAACAATGTGATGCAAGAGATAATGCATAATACTTTATATGTAATTAGAATTGTAATACTTTATATGTATTACTGAGTCTGGTATAGAGGACCTATCTATATACAAGTCAAGAACTGGAAATAAACTTATCTTAAAGAAATATATACAGTTTCTTATTCCCTTGGTTATGTTTCATGTATTTTTGCACTTTCTTTGTTATAACAGCGTGTGATAAAAATAAAAGTAACAATACAAATAAAACCTTTCACACTATAGACTCACTCTGTAATTAATGTTAAACAAGCGATAATAATCTGACAATCAGGAACAATCTAAGTAACAAAAGCAGGTTATTAGAAAAAAGATTTCTCTCTAAGAATGTATTGAACAATATAATTGAAGGGAGATAACACCTTTGCTGTCTCCCTTATCAGTTTAATCTTGGTACTGGTGGAACAAAGATCACATTACCCACATGTTAACCCCTATGTATAAACTTTTGACTTGGGCTCCAGTACAAACACTGCCAACCATGATTGAATATAGGCTCAGACAGGCACATATTGTGATGGGATTCAGCTACACATCTATATTCACTAATTAAACTTTGATCATGGCTGATTTACATAGATTTTTATATTAAAACTGTCCTCTAATGCGATGCCAGCTAACAGTGATTTTGTCCTTAACCTGATGCTCTCATATCACATATCTCTGAAATATATCGATTTAAGATATGTTATACAAATGTCATAACACTACCAGTGAATCTCAACACTTCACAGAAACGCTGCTTTTTCTTATTTGGGATTGGTATTTACATGATTATCAGCCAAAACACAACTGTAAACAAAATTGGGTCAACTCAATCTCAATCAGCTAATCAAGACAGTGCCCACACAATAACAGGATATTCCCTGTTTTTGTTACACTATATATGTAAGACTTTTACCTGAATACCATTTACAACAAGATGCCGCAAAGCGTGGCATTATCCCTCGCGCAAAGGTGTTGGTATGGAACCCAAATATGCTATATATAGCACTGTAATAATTTGAGACTTCACATACTTATGTATCAGTACTTTGCATGTGAAGGTCTATTACAGTGAAAGCACAAGTAGAAAATAATAAACTCACATCTCCTCAACTTCAACATTATAGATATATATATAGAGATATAATTGAAAATATAGAATCAACACAACAAATGTGTTTCAGTAACGTTTTCAGGCATAACAGCTATCTTCAGGTGATACAATTATTATAATGCCTTGGTAACCACAGCATGATGTTATAAACAGCATATGGCAGAAGGGGAGATAATAATTCCATTGCAGTATATTGACATTAATTTGTTAGACACATTGTACCAATCAAATATGTAACATTTTAAGAATTAAGTTTCATTTATCTGATATGTCAACTTATCTGATTATGTTTCCATGGAAACAGAAAAAAAATATATAAAGTGAAATGACGGCAATAGCAAAAGGCACAAAAAGGGCACCCACTTAATATGTGCAGAAAGTTTTGTGAAGTTGAGTGGAATGGTTTGGAAGTTATAGCCCGGAAAAGCCCTCTTTTGGTGTTTTCTGACTATGTTTCCACGGTAACAGAAAAAAATATAAAAGTGAAATGTCGACAATAGCAAAAGGCACCACTAGGGCAATGGCTTAATATATACAGAAAGTTTAGTGAAGTTGAATTAAACAGTTTCGAAGTTATAGCCCGGAAAAGCCCTCTTTTGGTGTTTTCTGACTATGTTTCCATGGTAACAAAAAAAAATATAAAAAGTGAAATGTCGCCATTAGCAAAAGGCAGAACTAGGGCACTAACTTAATATATGTAGGAAGTTTTGTGAAGTTGAGTTGATCGGTTTCGAAGTTATAGCCCGGAAAAGCACTTGGATGCACGCACGGACGGAGCCCAATTATATATCCCCCGCAAACATGTTTCGTGGGGGATAATAAGATACCAGCTATAGTTGGGTCCATTCTGTAATACATGCATATAAAGCAAAGAGTAAACTCCAGTCCTGGGTTTTCCAAAGGTACACCAGTTTTCTTCAACAGTAAGATCAGCTTGCATTCTTCCATCTAGACCAACAAGAGCAATTAATTATAAGCTGTTGGCTACCTCATTGAACAAAATATGGAAGACATGTAATATGCTATCCAGAAAAATCAGGGTAAAGTTTCTCGCCCCAGGGCATAATCATGACCACACAAACATGTCCTTTTTTTCCAGCTTCCTAAGAAATGCAAATACTCACAAAAAGGGATTGTTGAATCATGCACCTCTGACCTTGTTAAGCTTGCATCACAACACTTTTGTAAAAAAAAAAATCGTGATGGGTAAGAAAACAAGAATAATTCCAACGTAAACCTTTTTGGTTGTTTAAAGGCAGCCATAACAATACTGCACCGATGCAACTGTCTGCTTAATATTCCAAAAAGGTACTAACATAGACAGGAAGAGTAGATGTACATTAATTGTTATCATGGTCAGCAAAACAATAAATTTCCTTTCTATTTCAGTTGTCCATAAGAGCGATGACCTTCTTTCTGAATGCTGTTGTGTTGAGGTACATTTCAAAGGACATGCTTGGAGTTGTCAATGTCAGGTTTGTGGTTAATTACTTTTCACATCTACAATCTAAATCAGAAACATAATTTTCAAGCTTTGATTTTCAGCCCACCATCATCAGATGGTGGGGTAATCAAATCGCCCTGCCGTCCGCGGTCCGTGGTCCGTCCGTCCGTCCGTCTGTCTGTAAACAATTCTTGTTACCGCTATTTCTGGAAAATTATTGGATGGATCTTTCTCAAATTTCAAATGCAGGTTCCCCTTGGTCCCTAGTTGTGCATTGTACCTTTTTTGAACTGATTTGCATTCAAGATGGCCGACAGGTGGCCATATTGGATTTTGGAAGTAAAAGTTTGTTACCGCTATTTCTGGAAAAGTACTGGATGGATCTTTCTCAAATTTCATATGCAGTTTCTCCTTTGTCCCTAGTTGTGCATTGTACCTTTTTTGGACTGATTCGAATTCAAGATGGCCGACAGGCAGCCATCTTGCATTTTGGAAGTAAAAGTTTGTTACCGCTATTTCTTGGAAAGTACTGGATGGATCTTTCTTAAATTTCATATGCAGGTTCCCCTTGGTCCCTTGTTGTACATTGTACCTTTTTTGGACTGATTCGAATTCAAGATGGCTGTCAGGTGGCCATCTTGGATTTTGAATGTAAAAGTTTGTTACTGCTATTTCTTGGAAAGTACTGGATGGATCTTTCTCAAATTTCATATGCAGGTTCCCTTTGGTTCCAAGTTGTGCATTATACCTTTTTGGACTGATCCGAAATCAAGATGGCTGACAGGCAGCCATCTTGGATTTTGAGAGTAAAATCTTGTTACTGCTATATCTGAGGAAGTACTGGATGGATCCTTCTGATATTTCATAGATATTGGTTTCCCTTGGTCCCTAGTTGTGCATTGTACCTTTTTTGGACTGATTTGAAATCAAGGTGGCCCACAGGCAGCCATCTTGGATGTCGACAGTAATACAGCACAAGCATATTGTCCATTATCCACCTGTAACTGACTGCTATCTAATAATACTTTGGGATCTTTTTCAAATGATATTTGCCAATAGGTGCTTTATAAAAACATCTTGTGCCATCATTGAGTACATTCAATGAAGACCAGTTCATGAACATGTACAACACCTGTAACAAACAAAAAAAAAATAAACAAATCTTCAAGAACTGAAAACAGATCCTCAAATGGTGGGCGCCAAGATCCCTCTGGGATCTCTTGTTTATGATTACGTCATTATTTCATATTTATACAATGCTTTTGATCCCAGTTTTCTAACACACTAAGAAATGAAATGCAAGAAAAAAGACACATCTATGAGCTATATGGATCAGGTTTGTTGCAAAAATAGATGCGAACTGAAGTTGGTTTTTGTTTGCATACTTTTGCATTTCCAGTGTTACAAGTAGGGCAGAATGTTCTCCCTACATTACATTACTAACCACAAAAAACTATTTGACAATATATGTAATAATTGATATAGAATGTATAAGTGGACAGCCCATTATATTGTGCATTGTACAGCTGTCAGCACATCTACACATAACATATAATACCCTACTCAAAGCTTAAGTAGTAGCAGTGTCGGGAAGCCGTTAAAATGACAACTAGAAATATCTTTAATGAATACTTTTGAAGTCCCTTCTTTAGATTGGATACTTAAACCTTATACATTTGCATCCTGTTATGCTCAATTATTTTAATGTAAATATTAAACAAAAACATGTCAGTATGTCTTGTTTTATCATACATTTCGCAGACACAGATTCATTAGTCTTTGGTTAAGACTGTATCTGGCTTTATTGCAAATGTAGCACATCTGCTCCTGTTGGCACAATCACAACAATTTTTACTTGGGATGAAGTTGGGTAGACTAATAATGAAAGCCTGTTAACCATTCACTTAAATCACTGATATATCTATACATCACTTAGCCTTTTGTACTTTCTCTTTTACATAATTTTTTTTGTCTCAACATGTTTCTGAGGTTTAATTTTTTTCCATGTTGAATGTTCCTCTTGTGTTTTGTTTATGCACAGCCTGCCTATTAGATAAAGTACAGTACTTAAACATGGAACTAAACATGTGGATATTATTTTTTTTGTCTGTTATCACTGTGCTAGCATCAAAACTGGTAACGATTCATGTTGATTTCAATTGTTACAAAATAAATTATTCTTTAGCATAATTTAATTTTTCATTTCCTTTGGTACATATAAAACTATGAATAATATGATTGTCTTACTTCAAGTTCTAACAACCTCAATTGCTCAATTACTTCGACATTTTCATGCGGAAAAAATTATAATAAAGGGGTTTCACTGTATATCATAATTACAAAAATATGGTTCTACTAAAACCTGAAAACTGTTTGTAGGTTAAAGGTCAAGTACATTTGTTATTGTTAGAAAATCTCTGTTATTGTTTCCATTACTTCATTGAAACTTCATTCTATATTGGAATTAGTTTTTAAGTTAAAAAACTGCAGTTTATCAAAATCATTGCAACTACATCCTGATTATGAAAATATTTTTTTTCCCAATTTAGCAACAGTTACTAATGTGTTTGGAAAATATAAAATGGCTCCATGGAAGTCAGAAATGGAGAATTTGTGATAAAAAAAAGATAAAAAAAAACACATATAATAGCTTTACTCACAGTATTGTGAACAGTGAACACGATAATTACTGATGATTATATTGTTAAAATAAATATGCAGTTATCATCCATAACATGATATGATGCCAAAAATTCCTATGATATTTGGTGCATGATGATTATTAATAACCTTCGCTATGGATAATGATAGTAGCAGTGTGCATTGCTTCTTCAGCCTGAATTTTACAATAATCTGTGTCTGCTTGTAAATATATTTTCATAAAAATTGGGAAGATATGAATGATATGATACTCAGTTTTGAAGTTGAAATATTTTCAGTTGAAGAAAACAGCCTATTTTTTAATGTAAAATATGGAACAAAAAACAGTATTATAAAGTGTATCATACTACAACACTTGGTCTGTGCTAAAAGTGAGATCAACATCAGGTGGAAATGAGGTCAAGATGACATGGATATAGCTGCAATACATTCTGGTACTTGCCCTGAAGTATAACATGATATATGGTTGGTGTCTTCAATTGACCAGATTTGGGTTACATCAACAATGTTAGAGATGTACATGGCAAGAAATGTAAAGAGACACTATGACACAACTGATAGTGATCCTGTGATAGTCCTGACCAAGTGTTGTTATATTTTGAGTCAGTCCAAAATGCAATATAGCAGCAATGATTGTCATCATGAAAAACACATTTTAAACTTCTTCTCAAGATGTACTGATGCTGTGGAGCTGAAAAAAAATTAGTTGAAATTTCAATAAGCCATTTTGTATCATGAATGAGCAATTTTGGTTTCCCAGAACAACATAATTTTTTATTTTAAAGTTCTAAAATCCATCTGTTGGATTCAGCTGGAACTGCAAATAATCCAGGTCCAGAGATGGTTCTGATCAAATGTTGTTATTTGCAGAAATATTCAGAACTGTTTGAATCCTAAAATAATTGTTCATACTTCCCCTACTACTGTTACCAGTATATCATTCAAGGGTCTTGACAGTCAGATCACCATTAAGGCCAATAGGAGTAATCATTCTAGTTTATTTAACAATGACTTGATCAAATCATTGGTGCAATTAATCACAACAAATTCTATGCTATTACTAATGCTTTATGTCAGAATTAATAAACATAAAAGCAATTCGCGAATGAAAGACAAAATATTGAAATACCAGTAATATTTAGATGTAACATCAAGGATAGCATCCAAATACACTCAAAGATGGTAAATAAACAATGAAATTGGTCTTTAAACCGTATAAGTTATTGAATTTTGAAACCGTTTTTATTTTTTTAAGGTTAAAAATTAAAAAAAAAAAATACTTTAGGTTCCTTATTCATGGTATTAGAGGTGAGTTTCGTGGGGTGCCCTTCAGGATCAGATTAGATTTTAAGAGTCCATGGAAGAAACATGGTTGGGTCAGCATGATGTCCTCCATGTAAAACTGTAATGCTTGAAGCCTCTGTTGATTTTTGTGTACCCTATCTAGTATTACTTCATTTCTCTATGTTGGCTTCATTAGATGACAAAGTATATTTCATTGCATTTCAGACTGACCCTGCTGTACAGTACAACCTTGTTTGTTTCCACGGAGGCATTTGACCAGGCCGGTCTCAGTAAGATTGAAGGCAAAAACTGGACACAAGTGGTAAACCTTATGTGGTGCTCGTAAGTAATATTGTATTACTACCTGAGTTAGACCTATATATAAATATAGGTTCCAGGCAGGTAACTTTATGAAGGTCTTTTTTACCTCTCCGCAATTTTATGTGGGAGTGCATGTGTTATTAATCATGTCTGTCTGTCATGTCCCATCATACCCCTCTCTCAGTCAGTATCATATCTAGAAAACCTCATAACAGATTTGTTTCATATTCACCTCATAGTATCATAATATCATTTTTGATATCTTGTCATATTAAGCTGGTCATCAGTGAAGGTCAAGCAGTCAAATGTCATATTTGACAATTTTATCAAACAATGATACAAATGTACTGATATGCATTGGAGGGAGGACATTTTTGTCCTGTTAATGTTTTTTAGTTTAATAAACTTTTTGGAAATACAACCCTTTGATTGTTAAATGCCTGTTTGGAAGCCCTCAGATAAGTTTAAATTATATGTCTAGAATCCAGTATTGAAAATCTTATTTAAATTTGCCAGTCATGTACTAGTCTATGTGCTTTTTGCAGTAGTCATATAGTGTACTGGTGTCATGTTTATTACAGGTGGCCAGTCAGCATCATAATCTGTGGAATATTAAGCATTGTGTGGCTGTTTGCTCTGACACCCCCAGACCCAGAAGATATACCCTACTATGGATGGGGTGTAGTTAGCTTTGCACTGTCAACCATCATTGCAGTCTTGGCTCGCCCACACTATATTGTCGGCCAAGCTCATCTATTTGTCAAACTCCGGGTAAGGTCAAACTAAACGAGGTCAAACCAAATTCAAATTTTCACTTGTCAAAATAACTTTAAATAAATCCTTATGAGGTGAAAGATAAGACTACCTAGTAAACATTTAAAAGACATCTTAGTCAGACATTTCCTCATTTTCATTGGCTGATATGAAGACTAAACATTTAAAAGACATCTTAGCCAGACATTTCCTCATTTTCATTGGCTGATATGAAGACTAAACATTTAAAAAACATCTTAGCCAGACATTTCCTCATTTTCATTGGCTGATACTTAGACCAAACATTTTGAAAACATCTAAGTCGGACATTTTCTCAATTTTTTTCTCTCTAATTTTTTATTTCCATTAGCAATTCATACAGTACAATGTATTACAGATATTTATATTTCCCATTCACAACACTTGTCTTTATCATAATACCTATTACACATAATATTTCAGTACCTGGTACAGAAATATGATTTATATATATATATATATATTTTCATATATCATTACTTCAGGGCACATGTGTAAAAACACCTTTAATTTGCTCTGAAACAGAATCAGCACCTAGGATATAACATAGTTGACAAACATTTATAACTGTATTTTTAATGCATGTAACAACTGATAGAATCTGAAATCTTCTCTATTTGTCCTTATTATCATATCTATTCTGTCTCTCAACTCATTTCTTATCTTACCAATTAGAGATAGTGGATTTTGTATTTCATTTTCAAATTTCTTTGAATTTCTGGCCTTCCAGATTAACCACTTAGAATGAAAAATTACAATGTTACAGAGTTTGTTGATGTTCTCTGGATATTCTGATATACCAAAAATCCTTTCTTTATCAGTAAAAACAATATACTGATAATCTACTGAAACATTAAAGAGACACTCATTCAATAACCTTTCAATTTGTAGCCATACCTCTTCACTCAATCTGCACTCACTAAAAAGATGTTGTTGTGTTTCTTGTTCTTCCTTACAAAAATTACAAAGACCATTTGATTTCTTCATTTCTTTCAATTTGTGTTCAGTGGTTATAATTCTGTGTATACTTCTCCACTGAAAATCTTTTACTTTTTTTTTCTAGTCTACTGCTGTTTAATGAATGCCAAACTGCTTTCCACTCTAGATTGTAGTCTGTATCCCATTTCTGAATAGATTTTATCTGATTTGCTGTTTGAAACAATACATTTTTAATAGCTTTATTAAATAGTTTTTTTTTCAATTTTGATTGACTGATACATAAGACTTTACATTTTAAAGACATCGAAGTCAGACATTTTCTCTATGAATTGTCATGATTTAGGAGGCATACATGTGGTACATGCTGAATTAGAAAGTATATTTACAAAACTATTTCAGTTATTTTTATTATGAGTTTTTGATTGCAGGTTTTGTCAGTTGGGCTGTCAGAATTAGCCAAGTGTCTCACTGTTGTGTATTTGGTTATAAACTTCCCAAATCTAGGCCTCATATCCTTCTCATTAGGACAGGTAAGTATACATTCTAATTTATCTAAAACACCTTGTTACAGTCACTAGACCCCTTCCTGGACTTAAGTACAGAGATGGTCATCCAGAACCTTTTGATAAAATATCAACATCTACAGTGAATTTCCTCAAAAATATATCAAGATGGTTTATCTTATTGGTACCGCTGCAGTGTTTTTATAGATACGTATGTATTTTTTGCTGATGTTTTATAGAGATAAATGTTGTAAGGTAGATACCGTGGTATATTGAAGCCTTTCTCCAGACATTTCTGTGATCAATTCTCCAAACATGCAGGGGGGGATCATCAATCCAATTTCATTTCTCCGACTTTTGATTCTCATGTTTCGTTCCACATCAATCCTCCTTTTGTGTCTCATTCAGACCTGCACAGTGATATGATGTGACAAGTGGGGCTGTATAAGTTGATGAAAATTTTGATATAGATATTGTAAACAAGAGAAAAATCAACCGCATAAAATTGCTTTACATATCAGTAGCATTCAGGAGGATAGATATTGTTACTTCTAGTTAATAATTTCATATAAAGTCAAAATCTCCACGCTATCTTTCAATTCGTGACATCACAATGGCCATTGAGACCTGTGAGTGTGATATGATTTTCAAATGTCGATGAACATTTGGATTTTATGGTCAAGTGCATGGAGGAGAGAAAATCATAGGAAGTCTCATGTGTATAACCAATAAAAAATGCACAGTGATTTTTGTCATGAAGTCTGAAAACTTTTATTCTTCTTTTTTAACAATAACTCTAAGATAAGGTAGATGGGATCAGATCAGAGGTTAGAACAGAACCTTTCATCTAGCATATGATTATGAACTGAAATTTTGAAATCTTAACTTAAAAACACATTTCTATCTTCAGTGTGTTGACAAGAAAGAAAAAGCTACAGATATTTGTAACTTCAATTCAGTTTTATTGTTAAATGAAAATGATATTAGATGATGTGCCATCATACAGTATCGGAACAGAATTTCCCCTCCTTCTGATGTATCATAACCAATAGTGGTACTAGTATTTGTACAGTTGGTGGTATGTGTTGGTTTTTTCAGATTGTCCGTGAAGTAACCTATACTTTGATGTATTACTTGACCTTCTACTGGTATACAAGTGACAAGTCAAAACCTGAGGATTTTGTGTTCCAGACGCCTAGAGATTTCCTACCTCAGAAACCTAAAGATAAGGTGAGATGTTTATCACAGATATTACTTTCCAAGGGATTTCTTACCTCAGAAACATGAAAACAAAGTGAGATAATAATCATTTATGTCTCAAAAGGTGATCATTTTCTGTAATATGGTAGGATTAAAGACTTTTGATATATAATCAATTTAAGATGAAAGTTGCTGGAATTAACTTGTCAAGAATTATTGCATTTCTTGTCACCCTGGTAACGAATATTCATAAAAGTGAGACTAACTTGTTACTTTTTGTGTTTGAACATGTCAACATTTCACTTTCAAGTTCTGCATTTAGATCTGCTGCTCAAAAGCAGATAGAATTCATAGTGGACACCTCAAGCCATTCATCATTTACAAAATATCCTCTAATTAATTTTTTTGTCTTAAATTTACGTTAGATACATAATTATGCAAACATTTGTCTTTATTAGTCTTTTGTCTCCTTTTTATAAATAAAAATGGAATTATTTAATTATTATACATTGTATATCATCATTGGTAAAAAGTGTTAAGGAACACTGTTGTAGGACACCAGTATTTCAGCATTGACTTCTCTGTTTACAGAAATACTTGGATGATTATATGGTTTCCCTGACAGGAAGTTTCTTTAAACAGTCTCTTCTCAAACAGTTCTTAACTGAAGGTAAGTCTCTTCTCAAACAGTTCTTATCAAAAGTTAGTCTCTGCTCAAACAGCTCTTAACTGATGGCAAGTCTCTGCTCAAACATTTGTTCACTGATGGCAAGTCTCTGCTCAAACAGTTCTTAACTGATGGCAAGTCTCTGCTCAAACATTTGTTCACTGATGGCAAGTCTCTGCTCAAACAGTTCTTAACTGACAACAAGTCTCTGCTCAAACATTTCTTAGCTGATGGCAAGTCTCTGCTCAAACATTTTTTTAACTGATGGCAAGTCTCTGCTAAACCAGTTCTTAACTGTCAGCAAGTCTCTACTGAAACAGTTCTTAACCAAAAGTTAGTCTCTACTCTTGTTCTATATTTGATCAATGTCTGAGTAGAACTTTTCTCATTCAGATAAAAGAATTTGAAAGCCATACTTTTGACAAAATTCTTCCACAGATCTATTCTACCATGCCAAAATGACATAAGATAAAAGAATTAGGTACATTTGTCTAAGTCAAACCAATCAGGAGTAAAATTGTGTTCCTCAGAACTTTAGTAGTCATGAAAATAATTACGAGCTTGTGACCTTCAGAAATTTTCTTGTCATGAAAATAATTACGAGCTTGTGTCCTTCAGAACATTTCTTGTCATGAAAATAATTATGAGCTTGTGTCCTTCAGAACTTTTCTTGTCATGAAAATAATTATGAGCTTGTGTCCTTCAGAACTTTTCTTGTCATGAAAATAATTACGAGCTTGTGTCCTTCAGAACTTTTCTTGTCATGAAAATAATTACGAGCTTGTGTCCTTCAGAACTTTTCTTGTCATGAAAATAATTACGAGCTTGTGTCCTTCAGAACTTTAGTAGTCATGAAAATAATTACGAGCTTGTGTCCTTCAGAACTTTTCTTGTCATGAAAATAATTACGAGCTTGTGTCCTTCAGAACTTTTCTTGTCATGAAAATAATTACGAGCTTGTGTCCTATAGAACTTTAGTAGTCATGAAAATAATTACGAGCTTGTGTCCTTCAGAACTTTTCTTGTCATGAAAATAATTACGAGCTTGTGTCCTTCAGAACTTTTCTTGTCATGAAAATAATTACGAGCTTGTGTCCTTCAGAACTTTAGTAGTCATGAAAATAATTACGAGCTTGTGTCCTTCAGAACTTTTCTTGTCATGAAAATAATTACGAGCTTGTGTCCTTCAGAACATTTCTTGTCATGAAAATAATTACGAGCTTGTGTCCTTCAGAAATTTTCTTGTCATGAAAATAATTACGAACTTGTTTTTAAGACCTCAGCATTACAATTCTTGAAGATAAAATAATCCTTTTCTCATTGACTATGAATGACTAAGATAGAATTTTTTGAATTTGTAGGGGAGAAATATGTGATGACGCTGTTCAATGTGTTCAACTTTGGAGACCAGGGTAGGTACCTATTGTGATATTTGTTTTTTGTACAGTTTATAACCACAGAAAAGGTGAAATGATTATTGGAATGGTTGTAAGATATATATGTACTTTAGTTAGCTATGAGAAACATATTCTTCTATTAGTTAAAGCATGCCCAAAGAATAAAATAAATTGATCAGAAAGACATACGAGATATTGAAGCGAAATATTAAAGAAGTGAAAATTAATGTTATGAATTACTCATCAGATGTACTTGTAGAACACATATTTATTCACAAATATGTTAATTACCTGGTTGGTATAAATCATATACAAGTGTACAGTATACATATACTGGTAATATGTTGTCCATTGAAACATTCATTCCACATAAATTCATCGTTAACTTCATTTTACTTGCCTGGAAAATGGTTTGTTCTCATGTAGTTGCTCTAGCAGAGAGCAAATTAGATGAATTCTATGTATATACTATATATATATCATGTAAGTATATGTAGTACATTGCAGCAGTCTGTCACCTGTATCACCTGTGTCACCTGTATCACCTGTCATAATTACTTGTGTATTTATAATCATATCACTTGCTTATATTGTCATTATGATCCGATTCGAACCAAAAATTTAGAAATTAGGTTGAGTGAAATGGATTTGCCCGTCTATAAAATGTATTGGTAGGAAATTCATGATTTTCATTCTCTGAGCTTAATGTGAATGTTTGCTTGATTCTATCATCTTATTTCAAAACTGTATCGAATTTCATTGATAAAAGTTTACTTGTCACTCACTTCTTCAAATAGAAGAGAAGTCATTCACTTCAGTTTTTTTCCCTTTAGAAAACTCCTTGATATAAATATGTCATTTAAACATTGTCGTGCTGAAATATTAATAATGTGTTCATTTTCATAATTGTTTTATAAACTTTTTGTAAATTTAAGGTAATGGATGTAATTAGTTGTTAAGGTTTAAATAACTAAAATAACACAAATTACTGAGAAGATAGAAATAAAATCCTGTTGGATTCACTTCTTATGCTAAAAACAAAAGTCTTCAGTTGACCCTTTTACAGATTAAGTACTTTCTTTTTTCCATGAAGACAAGATGATCTTGTGTCACTACTGACTTTTCAGGTTTTTATGGTGTAATAGATAACACTGGTCAGTTTTTCAAGGAGCTGGACGACTCGTACCAGTACTTCTTCTACCTGATACTTGATCGTAGCCGGACCATTAACGAGCAGTGTCAAGTATGGTGCCCCCACAATCATTGGGCATGTAATTAGTAGCATGTAGCCTTATCTACTAGAGAAAAATACACACCCCGGTAACATACATTTTGAAAAATAAAAGAAAAGAAGAATTTACAAAAAAAATCCTCTGATTCTGTCCTATAAATAACAAGTCTATAATAACTGAATGTAAAATAAATGAATTCATTAATTGTGAAAACTACTTAAAAATCATATACCAGTCCACAGCATTTCTTTATGAATAAACAAAGTAATTATGAACTAAAACTCAATTTTAAGTCACATGAAAAGGGAAATTATTAAAAAGTGATGCTTTTATGATTAAAATTCTAGTTTTTTTTTACATTAGCAAATGGGAATTAATGATGTAAATATCCAGTGCTTTATGATGTACTGTTTTGAGTATGCTATGTATTAGTAAGGATGACGTGTATACACATGTTCATTACATCATAATCATTTGATTGGCATGGGTTTTATGTATCAGTGACTCTGTATATTGTGTAGTGTGTATATGCAGCATGATTACCTGTATAATCAGTATACCAAGTGTTTCTGTGTGGTCAACTTCTTCATTAAAAACCTGTAAATTGATTATGACAAATTCTCTGATTCTGTCCTATTGATAAAGAGTCTGTATTAACTGTATGTAAAATAAATGAATTCATTAATTGTGAAAACTACTTAAAAATCATATACCAGTTCGTAACAATTCTTACGAATAAACAAAGTAATTACGAACTAAAACTCAACATTTAAAGTTACATGAAAAAGGAATTATTAAAAAATGATGTTTTTATAATCATAATTTCTCAGCGTTTTTACATTAGCAAATGGGCATTAATAACGTAAATATCCTTGTGCTTTATGATGTACTGTTTTGAGTAAGCTCTGTAATAGTAAGGATGAACAATTTATGTGGAAACCAATTTTTCTCAGAACTTCTAGAATTCAGGTAATTTGATGGAAGTTTTTATTTTACAGAAAGTTTTAGAAATAGAAACAAAAACAACTAAAATGTTCAAAATTGTAAACATGCACAGTTTCAGAAGTATTCCAGTTAAATTTTTTATTAAATCTTAATAAAGCGATAGAGTTCATAATATTTGTTGAGAGCTTAATTTCACTTTACATGTATTTGCATTCAGTTTTAACAGTGTGATTATCAATTGGAATTAATTGTAGTCAGATGCAAATTTGCCATTAGCTCAGATAAGAAAGTGGAAAGAATCAGTGATGTCTTGTTGTTCCATAGTTCTTTTGATATATATTGAAATTTCAAAAATGTCTATGAACATAAAGAAAACCTTGAAGACAAGGCTACAGTGATAGTCAAACTGACACATGATTTTGTTCTCTTTTCAATTTTTTGATTATCATTATTGTATTACATAAAGGATGGTGGTTCACTAGTTACAATTCTCAGCCCTAATAGCTATTAAGCTTTTCACTCTACCAGAGTCAAATCAAGGGAAGTAACTCTGTGATGCCCTATTTCTATTGACAAAGATACTAGTGTGCCAGCTGTATTGCACATCTTCTTGTCTTCTCCACAGGAATGTGGCAATTTTATTGTATTACAGAAAGGAAGGTATCTCACTGGTTACAAATCCTCGGCCCCAATGGCTGTCAAGGGAAGTAACTCTGGGAGATCATATTTCTGTTGACATAGATACTGGTGTGCCAGCTGGATTGCAAATCTTTTTGTCTTCTCCAAAGGAAGGTGGCAATAGTTTTTCAGATTCAAAGGTCAGGGGCCACCAAGTCATCATTGAAGCCAGAATGATATGTAGATATTAATTTATGGATCATACTTTTCCACTCTTCATTCTGGAGCCTTCTGATCTTCACTGATGTAAACCTACTGAATTCTGCCTGTTGCATTTTAATGGGCAGAGAAATTAAGGCCATATTTCTATTCTCAACTTTGATACTTTTTGTTTTAGTTTTAGTTGCAAGGTATTTGGTCAGAATTGTGTTACCCTTGTTCTGTGTTCTCTCTCCACAGGTGTCAATATCTCTCCATGATAGCCGTCAATTTCTCTCCACAACAGGTGTTAATATCTCTCCATGATAGCTGTCAATATCTCTCTCTACAACAGTTGTCAGTGTCTCTCCACAATAGCTGTCAATATCTCTCTCCACAACAGTTGTCAATATCTCTCCACAACAGTTGTCAGTGTCTCTCAACAATAGCTGTCAATATCTCTCTACAACAGTTGTCAGTGTCTCTCCACAATAGCTGTCAATATCTCTCTCCACAACATTTGTCAATATCTCTCCACAACAGTTGTCAGTGTCTCTCCACAATAGCTGTCAATATCTCTCTCCACAACAGTTGTCAGTGTCAATCCATGATAGCTGTCAATATCTCTCTCCACAACAGTTGTCAATATCTCTCCATGATAGCTGTCAATATCTCTCCACAACAGTTGTCAATATCTCTCCACAACAGTTGTCAGTGTCTCTCCACAATAGCTGGCAATATCTCTCTCCACAACAGTTGTCAGTGTCTCTCCACAATAGATGTCAATATCTCTCTCCACAACAGTTGTCAGTGTCTCTCCATGATAGCTGTCAATATCTCTCTCCACAACAGTTGTCAATATCTCTCCATGATAGCTGTCAATATCTCTCTCCACAACAGTTGTCAGTATCTCTCCACAATAGCTGTCAATATCTCTCTTCACAACAGTTGTCAGTGTCTCTCTACAATAGCTGTCAATATCTCTCTTCACAATACCTATCAATAACCATCATCCTCTCAGTTATAGTGACACAATATACAAAGGTACTAGTATACATTTCTGCTGTCATTTACAGGTGTTGATAAACATCTTGTATGTCAATCATCTTATGATGAACATACACCAGCTTTTCTCTGACAGCTAATTGTGAAGTACCATTCAATACATTCATCCCTGCTTCCCTTAGATGGTTAACCTGTAAAATATCATACAATACATACACCTTGAATTTTCTCTGACAGTAGACCTGTAAAATATTACAATACATCATACATCACAGCTTTCCTCTTAGACTTAAACTATAAAATATGATACAATGTATACACCCTGAATTTCCTCTGATGGTTAACTTGTGAAGTGCCATACAATACAAACACCCCAGCTTTCATCTGACAGTTAACTTCTCAAATATCATGTAATACATACAACCTACCTTTCATCTGACACTTACTCTTTAAAGTACCATACAGTACACACACCCCAGCTTTTCTCTGACTGTTTAGCTGTAAAGTTCCAAACAATACATACACCTTGGATTTCTTCTGACAGTTAAATTGTAAAATACAGTACATACCCCCCAGCTTTTCTCTGGCTGTTTAGCTGTAAAGTTCCAAACAATACATACACCTTGGATTTCTTCTGACAGTTAAATTGTAAAATACAGTACATACCCCCCAGCTTTTCTCTGGCTGTTTAGCTGTAAAGTTCCAAACAATACATACACCTTGGATTTCTTCTGACAGTTAAATTGTAAAATACAGTACATACCCCCCAGCTTTTCTCTGGCTGTTTAGCTGTAAAGTTCCAAACAATACATACACCTTAGATTTCTTCTGACAGTTAAATTGTAAAATACAGTACATACCCCCCAGCTTTTCTCTGACTGTTTAGCTGTAAAGTTCCAAACAATACATACACCTTGGATTTCTTCTGACAGTTAAATTGTAAAATACAGTACATACCCGCCAGCTTTTCTCTGACTGTTTAGCTGTAAAGTTCCAAACAATACATACACCTTGGATTTCTTCTGACAGTTACATTGTAAAATACTGTACAATACATACCCACTTTTCTCTGTCGATTACAGGTATATATGATGTCATCAATAACCTTGGCTCCATGGTTCCTCGCTTTATTTTCATGCCTCTTGAGGAAAGTGGACGACTCTTCTTCTCCCAAACTTTGATACGGGGTAAAACCTACAGAGACCAGTCCAATGTAAGCATCACAGTAACCAGCAGTGCAGGAATCAAGACTTTCGGGTTATGTGTGTAGTAACTTGTCAAAGTCAGCTACAATAGGTCTAGGTCAAATAAAAGTACAATATAGCCTGTTATTTTCATGGGAATGATGTTTTTACTATTTCCTAGTGCAGCAAAATTTACGAATTAAGTACGCATGTACTAAGACATGTGTAAAAAGTATCAGCAATATGATAGAACTGCAACTCATTAAGGCCAACTCTGCAATATAGCAAACATATATTTTTACAGTTACAACCGACTGATTGAATGTAACATAATACAGATTATTTGTTACCTCAGAGGGGGTCGGGGAGGGGGTCGGGGAGGGGTCGTCCTAGTTGTATATAGAAGATCGTCAACTTTTTCAAAGTAAATACTCAGCAACTTCATTCATGGAATTTGATCAAACTTTATGCCATGATTAATTATGAGTAAACTTGAGACATTGTTGTGTTTAAGGGGCCCAAGTTCAAGGCCAAGGTCATCCTTGGTTTATATAGAAAGCCAGCTACTGATTCAACTTAACACTTAACTTCACTCTTCCATGGAATTTGGTCAAACTTTATGCAAAAATCAGTATGAGTACACTGTGGGCATTTATGTATTACAGACATTTTGTAGTTTGGTGTAATTGAATTTTCTCATTTTAGATGAAAATTGCAAACATTTTGACCCTTGATAATAACTGGCTATAGAGTAATAACTTATAAATCTAATACAATCAGAATTTTCATTTCTTTGAAAAAGTTGTCACTTAACTCTAATACAGGTGATCTCTTTATGCAAGTTTAATTCAGAATTTGATATCAAGTGGTCTCTCAACACAAGTGGTCTCTCAACACAAGTGGTCTTTAGATGCAGGTGGTTGTATGAGCAGGTTATATTTGTGAAATGATTTTATTACGACTTTTTCTTCAGGGTGAGAAATGAACAAAAAATAATGGATATTATTTGAAATTTTAGATAATTCAGAACAAGATCATTAAAATAATCTATTGTCTATATCTGAAAAGAATGATGCATGCAAGTATTGGTAGATGGATTAGTTTGTGTTGCAATATAGATAACATTGAAAACGGCTCTAGTTATAGGCTGTAAATGGATGTTATGTAGCAGTTCATTATAACTATATCGGACAGTTTTATCAACCAAAATAGATTTCCTGTTTTAAATGCATGTATTGTTTTATGTATTCACTAAACTAGTAAACTGTAAGAGTAACAGATAGTACCTTCCAAAACAATCTTGTAAATTGCAGTGGCAGCTTCCAAAACATTGTAGTAAAATGTATTAGTGCCTTCCAACATAATTTTGAAAACTGTATTACGAATAGATGGTACCTTTCATCATAATTTTGAAAACTGTATTATAGATAGATGGTGCCTTCCAACATAATTTTGAAAACTACTATGAATGGATAGTGTCTTCCAACATAATTTTGAAAACTGTATTATAAATAGATAGTACCTTCCAACATAATTTTGAAAACTGTATTACGAATAGATGGTACCTTTCATCATAATTTTGAAAACTGTATTATAAATAGATAGTGCCTTCCAACCTGATTTTTAAAACTACTATGAATGGATAGTGTCTTCCAACATAATTTTGAAAACTGTATTATAAATAGATAGTACCTTCCAACATAATTTTGAAAACTGTATTACGAATAGATGGTACCTTTCATCATAATTTTGAAAACTGTATTATAAATAGATAGTGCCTTCCAACCTGATTTTTAAAACTACTATGAATGGATAGTGTCTTCCAACATAATTTTGAAAACTATATTATAAATGGATAGTACCTTTTATCATAATTTTGAAAACTGTATTATAAATAGATAGTGCCTTCCAACCTGATTTTTAAAACTACTATGAATGGATAGTGTCTTCCAACATAATTTTGAAAACTATATTATAAATGGATAGTACCTTTTATCATAATTTTGAAAACTGTATTATAAATAGATAGTACCTTCCAACATAATTTTGAAAACTGTATTACGAATAGATGGTACCTTTCATCATAATTTTGAAAACTGTATTATAAATAGATGGTGCCTTCCAACCTGATTTTGAAAACTACTATGAATGGATAGTGCCTTCCAACATAATTTTGAAAACTGTATTATAAATAGATAGTGCCTTCCAACATAATTTTGAAAACTGTATTATAAATAGATAAGGCCTTCCAACATAATTTTGAAAACTATATTATAAATAGATAAGGCCTTCCAGCATATTTTTGAAAACTGTATTATAAATAGATAGTGCCTTCAAACATAATTTTGAAAACTGTATTATAATTAGATAGTGCCTTCCAACATAATTTTGAAAACTGTATTATAGATAGATAGTACCTTCCAACATGATTTTGAAAACTGTATTATAAATAGATAGTCTTTCAACATGATTTTGAAAACTGTATTATAAATAGATAGTGCCTTCCAACATGATTTTGAAAACTGTATCATAAATAGATAGTGTCTTTTAACATAATTTTGAAAACTGTATTATAAATAGATAGTGCCTTCCAACATGATTTTGAAAACTGTATTATAAATAAATAGTGTCTTTTAACATAATTTTGAAAACTGTACTATAAATAGATAGTCCTTACCAAAGTAAGACAGTAAATTGTATCTAGTAAACTTATTTAAGTAAACAAAATATTGAAGTAAACTGTATTAGTTATAGAGGGTATCTTACAAAATACAATCTAGAAAGTTGAATCGCTGAGAGATAGTTCATACCCTTTTATTCTGATGGTAATTTTATTCTACTATTTCTTTGATGGTAACCCTGATTTGTGGTTATTTTTACTGTTACATAATATGTTGATGGTAACCCTGATTTGTGGTTATTTTTACTGTTACATAATATGTTGATGGTAACCCTGATTTGTGGTTATTTTTACTGTTACATAATATGTTGATGGTAACCCTGATTTGTGGTTATTTTTACTGTTACATAATATGTTGATGGTAACCCTGATTTGTGGTTATTTTTACTGTTACATAATATGTTGATGGTAACCCTGATTTGTGGTTATTTTTACTGTTACATAATATGTTGATGGTAACCCTGATTTGTGGTTATTTTTACTGTTACATAATATGTTGATGGTAACCCTGATTTGTGGTTATTTTTACTGTTACATAATATGTTGATGGTAACCCTGATTTGTGGTTATTTTTACTGTTACATAATATGTTGATGGTAACCCTGTTCTACTGTTATATAGCATGTTGATGGTAACCCTATTTTATTGTTATATTCTATGTTGATGGTAACCCTGTTTTATTGTTATATTACATGTTGATGGTAACCCTATTTTATTGTTATATTCTATGTTGATGGTAACCCTGTTTTACTGTTAGATTACATGTTGATGGTAACCCTGTTCTACTGTTATATTCTATGTTGATGGTAACCCTATTTTATTGTTATATTCTATGTTGATGGTAACCCTGTTTTATTGTTATATTACATGTTGATGGTAACCCTGTTTTATTGTTATATTACATGTTGATGGTAACCCTGTTTTACTGTTATATTACATGTTGATGGTAACCCTGTTCTACTGTTATATAGCATGTTGATGGTAACCCTATTTTATTGTTATATTCTATGTTGATGGTAACCCTGTTTTATTGTTATATTACATGTTGATGGTAACCCTGTTTTATTGTTATATTACATGTTGATGGTAACCCTGTTTTACTGTTATATTACATGTTGATGGTAACCCTGTTCTACTGTTATATTCTATATTGATGGTAACCCTGTTTTATTGTTAGATTACATGTTGATGGTAACCCTGTTTTACTGTTATATTACATGTTGATGGTAACCCTGTTCTACTGTTATATTCTATATTGATGGTAACCCTGTTTTATTGTTAGATTACATGTTGATGGTAACCCTGTTTTACTGTTATATTACATGTTGATGGTAACCCTGTTTTACTGTTATATTACATGTTGATGGTAACCCTGTTCTACTGTTATATTCTATATTGATGGTAACCCTGTTTTATTGTTAGATTACATGTTGATGGTAACCCTGTTTTACTGTTATATTACATGTTGATGGTAACCCTGTTCTACTGTTATATTCTATATTGATGGTAACCCTGTTTTATTGTTAGATTACATGTTGATGGTAACCCTGTTTTACTGTTATATTACATGTTGATGGTAACCCTGTTTTACTGTTAGATTACATGTTGATGGTAACCCTGTTTTATTGTTATATGACATGTTGATGGTAACCCTGTTCTACTGTTATATTACATGTTGATGGTAACCCTGTTTTATTGTTACATCAAATGTTGATGGTAACCCTGTTTTATTGTTACATTAAATGTTGATGGTAACCCTAGTTTAAAAAATTATATTACATGTTGATGGGTATCTCGTGTTCTGATATAACATGTTGATAGTAAGCCTATTTTACTGTTATACAATATGTTCACAGTAAACTTGTTTTACTTTAATGTAACATGTGGATAATAAGCCTGATTTAGTGTCAAGTGTTGATAGTAACCCTGTTTCAGTGTTATGTGTTGACAGTAACCCTGTTTCAGTGTTATGTGTTGACAGTAACCCTGTTTCAGTGTTATGTGTTGACAGTAACCCTGTTTTAGTGTCATGTGTGGACGGTAACCATGTTTTAGTGTCATGTGTGGATGGTAACCATGTTTTAGTGTCATGTGTGGATGGTAACCCTGTTTTAGTGTCAAGTGTGGATGGTAACCCTGTTTTAGTGTCTTGTGTTGATGGTAACTCTGTTTTAATGTCATGTGTTTATGGTAACCCTTTTTTAGTGTCATTTGTTAATGGTAATCCTATTATAATTATGTTATGCATTTGAATTGAAGTAACAATAACCCTGGTACATTTCAACCATATATTCAACCATAAAATCCCATTTAACCATTTGTTGCAGGAGTCGTTAGACTTGGCATCGCGTGTCTTGTATAGCCTGCTTAGAGTCGTTATGTTGATAGGAATAGTCATCTTGGTGTTTGGGTATGCATACTCATTCCTCACTCTCGATTTGTACGGGGGTGCAGTACTCTCAGATGGCGCGGGTCCCACTCTCCTTCGCTGGTACTGTCTCTACGTATTAATCCTCGCCATCAACGGTATCACAGAATGTTTCTACTTTGCCACCATGAGTCAGACACAAATAGACCAGTAAGTGTTTTAATTTTAATACAAGTAATTTACTATCAAAGAAAGTTGGCTGTAAGATTCAAGAAATGTCAAAAAATTAAATTTCTGTTTTTATTCACCCCTTCATTAGCTCTGGAGTAAGGTTTAATTTGAACAATCAGTATAAAAGCACTAATGTACTGATCTAAAATATAATATTCTGTATGTTATATGCTTTCTTAATGTAAAATGAATATATTAAAAATCGATATAGCATATTAACATTAACACATGAGTGTGCAGAATGGAGAAACATTCCCTTCTCCTTTGTAGGTACAATCAAAGGATGGTGGTGTTCTCTGTGATTTTCCTTGGTTCGTCACTCCTGCTCACCAGTTGGTTTGAGAGTGTTGGTTTTATCCTGGCCAACTGTATAAACATGTGTACCAGGATAGCTCACAGGTATGTACAGTTTTAGAATGTGTTTCATTCTCTGACACCAGCACATCAATTTCATACTGGTCCTGTTGACACCTGAAGGATGGGGACGAAAGTCTTCTTCTTGGGGCTGAGGGACGATGGTAGGTTATAGAAAGTCCCCATGTGTCTTGATGAGAGGAAGTGACTTTTGTTACAGTTTAGATAAGAAAATTACACTTCCATCCATTAATTCCCCATGCTACCTAAACAGCTTCTTCAATATAGAGGTTTGAATGTTAAAAGTTTTAAATTCAATATGTCTACCATAACACCATAAATTATCCTAGATATAGGATGTCTGGGTATTACCAAAGTTGTTCACTACAGGTAACCATCTTGTATTTTGTGACTGTTTGAAATAGTCAGTATTGGATTTATATAAGATATTTTTATTCGTGTGTTTGATTAGTTCAAAATGATCAGCATTAGTTTTATACATCTTGATCCTTACATTCAGAATTTTCTTTTCTTTCAGCGTCTTTTTTATCCACGAATATTATCAAGGAAGCACATATCGTCCATTACTTGGTCTTCTTCCATCCAAGTCTCTGCTGCTCAGTCTGGCCATTTCATTTGTCATTACAGTGACATCAGAGGTTTGTATCGCTTACTGTGTCCGTTACTTGTCCTGTAGGTCCATACTTACTGGTCAGTGGTCATCACAGTGACATCAGAGGTTGGTATCACTGTGTCCGTTACCTGTCCTGTATGTCCATACTTACTGGTCAGTGGTCATCACAGTCACATCAGAGGTTGGTAACACTGTGTCCGTTACTTGTCCTGTAGGTCCATACTTACTGGTCAGTGGTCATCACAGTGACATCAGAGGTTGGTATCACTGTGTCCGTTACCTGTCCTGTATGTCCATACTTACTGGTCAGTGGTCATCACAGTCACATCAGAGGTTGGTAACACTGTGTCCGTTACTTGTCCTGTAGGTCCATACTTACTGGTCAGTGGTCATCACAGTGACATCAGAGGTTGGTATCACTGTGTCCGTTACCTGTCCTGTATGTCCATACTTACTGGTCAGTGGTCATCACAGTGACATCAGAGGTTGGTATCACTGTGTCCGTTACCTGTCCTGTATGTCCATACTTACAGGTCAGTGGTCATCACATTGACATAAGAGGCTGGTAACACTGTGTCCATTACTAAGGGTCAGTACTGTACTGTATTTATTAGTCATTTGCTGATTTCTGTTTATTTTACTGATATGTAGGATTCCCAAATTTTTGTTTATTTACTTGAACATAATAACAAAGTATATTTATTTAATGTTGTTTATTCTTTACAGATAACATTTTGTTGTGATGCTGGTATCTACTACCGACTGCTGCATATTGGGATTGGCGGCGTGTGCTTCATAGCTGTCATAGGTACCATCCTTTTAACGGAGGCAGAACTTGTCAGCTTCGTGTGGGAGTATTTATTACGCTTTAAGTCTTCCAAACAAGTTAAAAAAGAATGAAAACATCAGGTGCCTCTACCTCCAAATTCTCATAATATGAAGATGTAGTTCATCAGGGTGTTGTCACGGACACCATCACATGACACTATCACATGACACAGATGAGGTCAAGCCTTTTAAGAACTCATTGACTTGTATGCAGACTCCAACATCTCCTTTGTTGGAATATTCTGAGAGTGATAACAGAGGAAGGGCCAAAAGGAGATTCAGTGGTATAGTGTTATCATCACTGTGTGTGATTTAAGAAAATTCAACTGATGATGAAAGTTTCATGGATGGCAAAACTGGAAGCTGTATAGTAACAAAGACCTTGACATTTGAAAATGGAGTATTCAACCCCCTGTGAATTTGTTTTGTGACATGATCATGACAATAATACTTTTGTGATCAGGATATACAAATATTTTAGGTTTACAGCTATAGATGGAAGCACTGAAGGACAGGACAGTGTCATCTTCTGTACCAAGTGGCTGTGATTTGCAGGAAAATGAAATCATTCATTAGAGATGTAGAAGTTGGGATGATTTTGAAGTGATGTTTTAAAATTTGTGTTTAAATCATCTTGAACATTCCTTCTTGTTATAGCCAGAGAGTTTGATTTTGAATCTCTATAATCGCTGTTGGAGGGGCCTACCGTTATTGACATAAAATAGGTACAATATGCCATCACTAGGTACTGGCTTCTGTGTCTGTTTAATTACTGACGACTCAGGAACTACATTCCGTTGTCTCACTTCTCTAATAACATCTCTTTCTGATCCAGTTACATTGTTAAGTGTTATTATACACCATGGAATTTTGGAGGTGTCAAAACATTACGATAAATACAAACACATTTGCTAACTCTCACATTCTCAGAGGGAGAAATTTCATGTCTTCCCAAGAAAAATCCCTGCTCACTCACTCCAGATATAACATCACATCATAAGAAAATCCCTCTATATTATGCAAAGATTTACCAAGATAATTTCATCCTAATAGGAACAACTCTTATGCAATAGACAAGATCAATGGTGCAACCATGAAGGAACAGATGTAGAAAGGATGAAATGTATTCCTATTTTGTAATGCATTTTGTTTATGGCAGGAAGGGAAATTTGAAAAGTTTGTGATGAGGATATGGGCAATATTTTTTTATCTAAAAGTTTGTATCACAGGTCATTAAGCTATGGCATTTACAGTTAAGAGAACTTTGACCAATGTTTCAAATGGACACTGATCCAAGGGTCATTATACAAATGATTGATGTGCAAAGACAAAGACGATTACATTGATTTTATAAAATCAACAGATTCTGTTAAATATTAGATGATTTACACCAGTTCATTAACAGTTGGGGTCCTTATTGATGTAGATATTACATCCAGTCTACATTGTTGCTGTCCTTACTGATGTAGGTCATTACACTGGTGATATTACATCCAGTCTACATTGTTGCTGTCCTTACTGATGTAGGTCATTACACTGGTGATCTTACATCCAGTCTACATTGTTGCTGTCCTTACTGATGTAGGTCATTACACTGGTGATATTACATCCAGTCTACATTGTTGCTGTCCTTACTGATGTAGGTCATTACACTGGTGATATTACATCCAGTCTACATTGTTGCTGTCCTTACTGATGTAGGTCATTACACTGGTGATATTACATCCAGTCTACATTGTTGCTGTCCTTACTGATGTAGGTCATTACACTGGTGATATTACATCCAGTCTACATTGTTGGGGTTCTTACTGATGTAGGTCATTACACTGGTGATATTACATCCAGTCTACATTGTTGGGGTCCTTATCGATGTAGGTCATTACACTGGTGATATTACATCCAGTCTACATTGTTGGGGTTCTTATTGATGTAGGTCATTACACTGGTGATCTTACATCCAGTCTACATTGTTGGGGTCCTTACTGATGTAGGTCTTACATCCAGTCTACATTGTTTGGGTCCTTACTGATGCAGGTCATTACACTGGTGATCTTACATCCAGTCTACATTGTTGGGGTTCTTATTGATGTAGGTCTTACATCCAGTCTACATTGTTGGGGTCCTTACTGATGTAGGTCATTACACTGGTGATCTTACATCCAGTCTACATTGTTGGGGTTCTTATTGATGTAGGTCTTACATCCAGTCTACATTGTTGGGGTCCTTACTGATGTAGGTCATTACACTGGTGATCTTACATCCAGTCTACATTGTTGGGGTCCTTACTGATGTAGGTCATTACACTGGTGATCATACATCCAGTCTACATTGTTGGGGTCCTTACTGATGTAGGTCTTACATCCAGTCTACATTGTTGATACTGATGTAGGTCATTACATCCAGTCTACATTGTTGGGGTCCTTACTGATGTAGGTCATTACACTGGTGATCTACATTGTTGGGGTCCTTACTGATGTAGGTCATTACACTGGTTCCAGTCATTGTTGGTCCTTACTGATGTAGGTCATTACACTGGTGATCATACATCCAGTCTACATTGTTGGGGTCCTTACTGATGTAGGTCATTACACTGGTGATCTTACATCCAGTCTACATTGTTGGGGTCCTTACTGATGTAGGTCATTACACTGGTGATATTACATCCAGTCTACATTGTTGGGGTCCTTACTGATGTAGGTCATTACACTGGTGATCTTACATCCAGTCTACATTGTTGAGGTCCTTACTGATGTAGGTCATTACACTGGTGATATTACATCCAGTCTACATTGTTGGGGTCCTTACTGATGTAGGTCATTACACTGGTGATCATACATCCAGTCTACATTGTTGGGGTCCTTACTGATGTAGGTCATTACACTGGTGATCTTACATCCAGTCTACATTGTTGGGGTCCTCCTTACATCCAGATGTAGGTCATTACACTGGTGATCTTACATCCAGTCTACATTGTTGAGGTCCTTACTGATGTAGGTCTTACATCCAGTCTACATTGTTGGGGTCCTTACTGATGTACGTCTTACATCCAGTCTACATTGTTGGGGTCCTTATTGATGTATGTCTTACATCCAGTCTACATTGTTGAGGTCCTTACTGATGTAGGTCATTACACTGGTGATCATACATCCAGTCTACATTGTTGCTGTCCTTACTGATGTAGGTCATTACACTGGTGATATTACATCCAGTCTACATTGTTGGGGTCCTTACTGATGTAGGTCTTACATCCAGTCTACATTGTTGAGGTCCTTACTGATGTAGGTCATTACACTGGTGATATTACATCCAGTCTACATTGTTGGGGTCCTTACTGATGTAGGTCTTACATCCAGTCTACATTGTTGGGGTCCTTACTGATGTAGGTCTTACATCCAGTCTACATTGTTGCTGTCCTTACTGATGTAGGTCTTACATCCAGTCTACATTGTTGGGGTCCTTACTGATGTAGGTCATTACACTGGTGATCTTACATCCAGTCTACATTGTTGGGGTCCTTACATCCAGTCTACATTGTTGGGGTCCTTACTGATGTAGGTCATTACACTGGTGATCTTACATCCAGTCTACATTGTTGGGGTCCTTACTGATGTAGATCTTACATCCAGTCTACATTGTTGAGGTCCTTACTGATGTAGGTCATTACACTGGTGATCTTACATCCAGTCTACATTGTTGGGGTCCTTACTGATGTAGGTCATTACATCCATCCAGTCTACATTGTTGGGGTCCTTACTGATGTAGGTCTTACATCCAGTCTACATTGTTGGGGTCCTTACTGATGTAGGTCATTACACTGGTGATCTTACATCCAGTCTACATTGTTGGGGTCCTTATTGATGTAGGTCTTACATCCAGTCTACATTGTTGAGGTCCTTACTGATGTAGGTCTTACATCCAGTCTACATTGTTGGGGTCCTTACTGATGTAGGTCATTACACTGGTGATATTACATCCGGCTACATTGTTGAGGTCCTTACTGATGTAGATCTTCCAGTCTACATTGTTGGGGTCATCCCAGTCTACATTGTTGAGGTCCTTACTGATGTAGGTCATTACACTGGTGATATTACATCCAGTCTACATTGTTGAGGTCCTTACTGATGTAGGTCATTACACTGGTGATCTTACATCCAGTCTACATTGTTGGGGTCCTTACTGATGTAGGTCATTACACTGGTGATATTACATCCAGTCTACATTGTTGGGGTCCTTACTGATGTAGGTCATTACACTGGTGATCATCCAGTCTACATTGTTGGGGTCCTTATTGATGTAGATCTTACATCCAGTCTAAATTGTTGGGGTCCTTATTGATGTAGATCTTACATCCAGTCTACATTGTTGCTGTCCTTACTGATGTAGGTCATTACACTGGTGATATTACATCCAGTCTACATTGTTGAGGTCCTTACTGATGTAGGTCATTACACTGGTGATCTTACATCCAGTCTACATTGTTGGGGTCCTTACTGATGTAGATCTTACATCCAGTCTACATTGTTGCTGTCCTTACTGATGTAGGTCATTACACTGGTGATATTACATCCAGTCTACATTGTTGAGGTCCTTACTGATGTAGATCTTACATCCAGTCTACATTGTTGCTGTCCTTACTGATGTAGGTCATTACACTGGTGATATTACATCCAGTCTACATTCTTGGGGTCCTTATTGATGTTGATCTTACATCCAGTCTACATTGTTGGGGTCCTTACTGATGTAGGTCATTACACTGGTGATATTACATCCAGTCTACATTGTTGCTGTCCTTACTGATGTAGGTCATTACACTGGTGATCTTACATCCAGTCTACATTGTTGCTGTCCTTACTGATGTAGGTCATTACACTGGTGATCTTACATCCAGTCTACATTGTTATGAATTCTTTTATGACTTGTTATGTATTCCGATAGATTTATTAAAGTTATTTTTGTCTATTTTGGAAATAATGAATTTCAACATGTGCAATGGTCAAGAATATTGTGAATTATATATGCATTTTATAAATAAAATATTGAGAACCATTTTGATTTTCTCCCTCTTTTTTGAAGTAGGAATAATCTATCCTAGCCACGACAACTGAAATAATCTGTCATAAGAGACCTGTTAAACAAGCTACCAGATACTGCATCCATCACTAGGACAACTGTGATCTTCATTGCTGGCCTGTGTAGGTGTTAGGATAACAGAATCATTTAATTTGTAGTTTTTTCTGAGGTTTTCTCACAAAGCGAGAACTAAATTATTCGTTTCTTGTATGATATTGTATTTTTGATTTCCAGCTCACCTTCTTACAAGCACATAAAACAAAATACTGTGACTTCATTTTAAAATTTCTAAAAGTTTTTTATTTTTAAAACATAATAACAAATTTATACATAACAATAATATGTACCATCAATAAAGCCATGAACTTAAAATTTACTGACAATCATTACAAATATACATTAATCACTCATACACCTTCACTTACAGCTCACTGTACAATGTATCTCATGCTTGCTGCTTCAGTACAATTTACAACACACATCTGTACTTACAGTTTAGTGTATGTACACTCACCATGTACCAACAGTGTTGGGTACAATGTACACACCATGTACCGACAGTTCAGGGTACAATATACACATCATGTACTCACAGATTAGGGTACAGTGTACACACCATGTACCAACAGTGTTGGGTACAACGTACACACCATGTACCAACAGTGTTGGGTACACTATACACACCATGTACCAACAATGTTGGGTACAAAGTACACACCATGTACCAACAATGTTGGGTACACTATACACACCATATACTCTAAGATTAGGGTACAATGTACACACCATGTACCAACAGTGTTGGGTACAACGTACACACCATGTACCAACAGTGTTGGGTACAAAGTACACACCATGTACCAACAATGTTGGGTACACTATACACACCATATACTCTAAGATTAGGGTACAATGTACACACCATGTACCAACAGTGTTGGGTACAACGTACACACCATGTACCAACAATGTTGGGTACAATGTACACACCATGTACCAACAGTGTTGGGTACAACGTACACACCATGTACCAACAATGTTGGGTACAATGTACACACCATGTACCAACAGTGTTGGGTACAACGTACACACCATGTACCAACAATGTTGGGTACAATGTACACACCATGTTCAAACAGTTCAGGGTACATTATACACATACCATGTACCTAATTTTCAGGCCTGTACCAATCACTGAAGAGTTGTACCTAATTTTCAGCCCAGTACCAATTACTGTGGAGTTGTTCTTAATTTTCAGCCCAGTAACAATTACTGAGGAGTTGTTATTAATTTTCAGCCCAATACTAATCTCTAGGGAGTTGTACCCAGTTTTCAACCCTGTACCAACAACTGTTGATTTTATCTACAACATCACACATAGTTGTTATTTACAGATTTACAAGGATGAATAAAAAGTGACAGAAGATTTGCAGAGAACAATACCCATATTTCATATTTTAAGTAGATTTGTAAATAGAATGATGAAGATTTAGGGTTCAGTCTGGGACGGAGTAGCTAACTGTCCTGAATGGTGTTTAATGCAAATATATGTCATATAGGTAGAGATTGATTTATAAACTGTTGTCCTGCACTCTCTATTGCAATCATTTAAATACTTCATATACACAACAGACATCACACACATCTACACCTATGTACATAAAGCTATGAACAAAGATACCCGGAATACAGCCATGGACACACAGATACCCGAGATACAGCCATGGACACACAAACACCCAATATATAGACAACAGAGATAAATTTACTAAGTAATAGTCAAGTGCACCCATTTAACACAGAATTTGTTGCTAAGTCACATAGTTACGATATTGGTTTAAATATTTCAAAAAACAGTTGACTGATTCTCAGCTTAACTGATTTAAAGTGAAAAAACTCACACTGAATTAAATCATTTCTTCAAATGAGAAAAGTACAGAAAGACAAGAATTATACAATTTGATTTCCTCTCAAAAATACAAATTATTATTCGTCTAAAAAGTAAAAGTTACTTAAATTCTAAAAAAGATGTTTAACAAACTGAGATCATAAACAAACTTTTAATTCTATATCTAATTCCCCCCCCCCCCCCCCCCCAAATTTCAAACGTCAATTTTGGTCTATATATTTGATCTACAAATTTACAAAAATTTTTCTACTCAAAAATCAAGATTTTCAACCAAAATAGAGAGGATTTGTTTGTTAAAATGATAGTTATTGATACAATTAATGTTTAATAAATTTCAGAAGGTATAAAAATGACAGGATTTTTCAGACACAGTTTCATTAAATAATCAGTTCAGTTTGTTACAGATTTCAGTCTGAACTTCTAGTTTAATAAAATATATTCTTTTATCTGCACTTACCATTTCATATTTCAGATATCAAAACAATATGCCCTATAGAGTTTACAGATAAATGTTTGAGGAATTTAAAATCTGTTGAGCCATTTTCTCTGATGACATAATATCACACTGAAGGTAGAGGTGTAGTAAACATAAATTTTAAGGCAGCGAGATTTGAACACAAAAATCCTCACATCAGTTAAGACATTCTTTTACCCTGACAGTCCCTTTTATGGCACACATATATGGACCATCTCCATCATCTGACGCACACACATACAAATTGTGATCATCTCACTTAACCACGATTTTTTTTTTCTGTGTCGCATAACCTGACAAGGAAGCAAATCACTGAAAGACAGTCAGAATTTTTCTGACTATATATATGATATAATGGTGGCACACAATTTGAAAACTGAATTATCAACTGTTTCTTTAAATTTACATCAGTCACACTTGTATCATTTTCAACATTCCACAGCACAAATATACATAACATCAATCCTATCTTGTGCTAGCCTTGATGTAACTTATTTGATAAGTGAATGAAATTTCATTTGGAAATATAAGAAATGAACCATTTGTCAGAAAATCTTCAGATATCTTTAAGAAGTGATATGCCCTCATATGATTCACACCAGTTGTCTCCCTTTAATAAACAAGCATTACTTGAAATGTCACACATTTGACAGAGTTATCTCCCTTCCCTCAACTACACTTTAAACTACAAATAGGTCTGAGGATCACACTATGTACATTCATAAAATACTGCAACATTTAATGGGTGAAATGATAGGATGACTACTAGTTATGACAATGACGAGTGATAATGATTTAAAATTGGTATTAAGGCAGAGATTGAATTATATCAACGACGAAGGATAACTTCTGCAAATAATTGTTTTCTTTACACAGTTTCAGTTATTCAAAATGATGGACTTGATAAAAATCCAACAAATCACACTTTAAGGTAGCAAAATCAGCCTGGCGCTTCACACAATTTGTACATTCAATGCTGCAAAAGTGCGCTGTTTCACTTTTATATAAATGTATTTTGAAAATGAGCAAGTAGCTGACGTAAAATAAATAAAACTTTGGTCCAAGCAATGGGCAGGTTCTTAAGATGACATGTCTACTTGAGGTTGTGTCTTCAAATTCTTCCCTTTGGTGCAGTTCACGATAAAACCGAACAAATGGCACAGAGTACTTAGTGATTCCTTTGGTAGTAACCACAACACATTTGAAGCAAACATGGTCACATGATCACTTACTTGGGCAGTAGGTACATGTTTGTTGGTGCCCACTGCGATAAATTTGAGCACTTACTTAGCACTGCTGCTGACCTTGAGCAAGTCTCAGATTATTATCAGTATTTTGTCATGATGATACCTGGTGCTTGCATTGCTCATTTGCAGCTTCCTTTTGATGACGGGATGCCCTGAATATCCCTTCATATTGAGACTAGATCGTGTCTTAGGGGTGAGGACCCTCGCCTATGAGGTGGAGATGATGAAGGTGAGGTGGACCCATTTGGTCGACAATGCGCAGGGCTGCTCTCCTTTTCCGCTTTAATCCTCTGCCAGGTCTCGCCACCCAAAGCTTTTGCAAAATGGTCGTCTACTGTACCAGGGAGTAATTCTTGTCTTGGATCATTCTTTGCCTTAATGGCTGACCAAGTGCTATTGCCTAGGGACTTGGCAAAATGGTCATCTACAGATCCTAAAATTACACAATATATGATTCCATTAGGAGTGTTCCCAACAACATGTGTCATACAATTTTAAATATAAGCACCTTCCAGCCTAACAGACTTTAGAATAAAAGAAAACTTAATAATCTGATACTTTGCTATTCCAATCCCTAAGTATTCAGATACTCTCTGTAACCCTATATATATATATAGATGAGAACGTATTTGTTACAAAATCCCCCAGATAAGACCTACATATTCCACTGTCCTGTATAATATGATCAATTTCCTGTTGCTGCAAAGTGTCTATATTACACACATGTAACTGTACAAACTTTTTGTCTAACTGTCTTTGTGCTGTTTCTCGCAAACAGTTAAACCTTCAGAGAATGATCCTAGATCCTAGCTGTCATACTAACCTGTAATAGACACTGCTGATGTGTTAGGTTTGGCGGACTTGGCTGCCGTGGCGACTGTCGAGGCAACAGCAGGAGGGGAGTCGGCCATTGGTGGTGTAACAGGGGACATTTTTGGGGCCATGTAGTCTGGATAATGTTTTCCCAGGGAGCGCCGGAAATGTTCTTCAATAGGGTCGCATCCTCCAACTGTAACCAAAAGTCTACCATCAGTTTCACAACATCAGAATGATTATCGAAAATTTGTATCATCATTTGATTAATACACAATATAAACTATTGCAAATAATTCATAGTTAACCACCTCCGGCCAACATTGGGATTGCAAAAAACTTATCTCTGTTTCTCATGGGACACGTGACCTAATTTCAGTAAATCTGCCATCCAAAGTGGTACTTAAACACCAAAAAACTTCTGCAATTATAGGTGGCACAATTTTTTATTTTTTCTTAGCTAAGAACGATGACACACTGAATGAATCTAAGACTCAACTTCAGTATGCGACACTCTGCCGTCACTAGAAGTATTCACGTACACAAACTTTGGCAAATGCTAGAATATCTCACAATCTTATAAAAAGATGACACACTTATGTAGATATTGTCCAATCATGTGCATTCTGTTGGTCATGTATGAAGACTAATTTCAAGTAAGGAGAATGTGGAGAAATTGAAAGAAAAGATGAACTGCTGCTATGGTAACAGCACTTTTTGTTATAATCATCAAAGAAAGCATTTTTAAACATATTGATGCCTCTTAATGTTAAATCTATAACCATGAGTATGTGCTTGAAACAGGAAACTTGTCAAGAGTTTTTCAAACTGCATTTTGTAAGACAGTTGTGTTTTGTCTATGATTCATTGATAAATGACCCTTTGTAGGGTAACGGGACAAAACCTCCCAAATTTACCTGTAGCAAGTTAACACCACTTTAAGTTTGTTTAAATGTTTTTAAAGGTGAGAATTCAAGAGTCATTCAGTTCAAACATGTGCTTCAATTAGCTGAAGGGGTAACTATAGGGACATGCACAGGTGCCGTACATACACATGCCACCTGGGCGCATGTATTTGCTACATCAAACACATCCATATCTGTCAGCCCTAATGCCATTAATTGACAATTCATGCAGGTTAATTAATATTCCTCCTCTAGATCATATGAATACCACAATTAACTTTTTGATATATATTCTCTTAACAGATTAATAAAAACTTCCGAAAATAAAGAACAAAAATTGTAACGGCATTAAGGTTTCTTCAGAATACATATAAAATTTTGGTAATGAGGAGGCCATCTGTTTGATAGATGATTATATACCACAGGTAAGAAATGTTGAGGAATCGTTAACAGGTGTTACATATTGAATGTAACATATCACCTGTAACCAATGAGAGCCAGGGATGCAACTCATATTTCACAGCACTTAAACACTTGCCTTTAACAGACAGATTTTCATTACATGTAAATGGTTCGTTACGGATTCTAGTAACGACCTATCATGATTGATACCTTATCGTCACTGTTGATCCGACATTTAAAGTCTGCCTACTATCTGATTTCCCTGCGGAGAAAATTGATTTTAATTGCCATAATCCAGTGTTGGAAGATACTTTTAAATTTTCCAGGGTAATAAATTTAAATGTTTAATTGTTAGATGTACTTTGAACGTACAGATTAACCCCCTTCACTTTTCTGATCCAGTGAGCTTTACTGATTTTAATTTTTTTTATAACTGCAAAATCTGTAGCTGCTTAACAGACATGATGATTTTCTTGAATGAAAGTTTTCTTAATTGTGTTCATTGAGCCAAGACTGTCTAAATTTCCTAGGTGCTTATCCATCAATGCTTTATATACTAAACCCGATAGAATTATTCAAACCTACCAGGCTAAAACACCCCTAAAAACTATCAACAGATCATATTTCAATGCAAAATCAGACAAATTTTTCGAAAAACATATCTTAAAGTGCAAAATATTGTTTGTAACAAATCTCAGAAACACTGAAAATTCATGTCATCTGATTTTTTTAAAAAATGACAAAAATGTGAACAGTGTGTTATATATTATGACCAAGAAGTAGAAAGTGGTGGTGATTCACCGGTCAATGAGGGCAAGTCTGTTTACGTTGTTTTACATTGCATTAGATGTAAATTAGAAATGACTGTGTACCTTTATCTATTTTTCAGCCTTTCCTTCTTATTGTCATTAAGTAATATTTTATTCCTATGACATCCATATGCATACATACAGATGTGTATATTTCCTGAATTGTCTGTTAAATTCCTGAAGGGATTTAAGCTGTGCACAGACCAACAGTGGTATGAGTCATTCTTCTACATAATCCCATATAACACCAGTTTACCACCACTCACATGCACATCATCGTGCACAATTCAATATGTACCAGAAATCTTCTTTTTCCCCTTTTTTTTCTTTTAAATAAAACTTTTGCTGGAATAATAGACAAGGTATATTCTTACATTTAGATAAAATGAAAAAAAACTCGGATAATTGAAGTTTACCTTCATTTGATTATCTAGCTTGTAACATACATTTTGATATTTAATCAGGGTAGAGTAACCACCTGTTGATGTTATCATCCCACTACTAGCATGGTTAGCGCAAGGATGAAGATAAGATCATCTCAAATCTAAACTACTACTTTAATTTGGCACAAATGTTTGCAGTTTTGAAACAAGCCAGATAAATAAGAGAAACGTTGTGACCACAGGCGATTGATCTGAAGTAGGGACTAGGTGCCAAACACAGAAACCAAATCCTAATTCCAGCGTAGAGTTTACAGAAATAAAAGGAATAGATTTGTGATTTTTTATTAGCACACAAATAATGTACACCCCTGAAATATTAAAGTGATATATAGCTAGAAGCAGACTAAACGGCACTATGGATAGATATTTGAGATAAAAAATCAAAGATAGATATATTCCCTCTTTACTCACAGGATAACATAATTGAGAAATTATCTTTATTACAAGTTTTTTTTTGTCAACTCCACCTTTTTTCTTCGGGACTGAAACATTTACGCGTCTCCATGTTCATTGAAGGCTCGTCTCCTTCTGTCCAGATCTCGTAGTCAGATAAGTATGTCAAACAGTGCAAATCGTAATTATACAAAATTTGGCAATTTTCAACTACCCGGAATACACTGGGCAGACATGGATATTGGTGAGGCATTCACGGGTGTATAGACAGGCTAGGAGGAGACAGTGTCCGTCTAGGGGAGCAAGGACAGACAGGGGTATACAGACAGGGTATATCTTTCAGAAAAAGGGGAAGGTCCACACTCAACTAGGACAAAAACTTAATGAACATGCCACAAAATAGAAACACTATGACACCTGAAACTACAGACAAAGTTCAGCATCTATAACTATTAATGTTAAAACTCTACACTTCCAATTCATTTTTTGTAATCTCGTTTTGCAAGCTGATCTTAATTCACTACTTTATACTAACAAATACTTTAAAAACCAGACACAGAAATTTACCATTAATCTTTAAACTACAACAAAGGAGGCTACCTTCCTTCCTCGGGGTGCCAACATACATTGGTAGATTTAAGTGAATGGATTGGGTGTTATTTCTTCCAATGCCCTCGAACAACCCTATCTAATGCTTACTGAAGCCCTTTGAAGTGGGATCAACCTCACAGTTGAAAATCAGTGTGCAACTGTGACATCGATTGATACTGATACCAATCAGGCCACCTTGTGTACAATTTGTAAAATAAACAGAGCTAAGAACTGACCAGGACGGAGCCCTTTACATCTCTCCAACACAATAGCAGCCAATTGCTTAATTAGGCGAAATTAGTCCAGTAAGATTACAGGGTGGCATGTGTATGTTGAGGTATGATAGCCCTGTTGTGGGCTGTGATACACCTACCAGGATGTTCTCACTATCGGGTATCAGATACAACAGTAACACACAGGGTGTTCTGTAATGAGTTTTTTTCAGCGCCGTATCACGCCCTTCACTATAGGTAGGGGCAGTGGGGATCTCAAGAGGTGTCAGGGTGGGCTGGGGCGGGGTATACTGATCAAAGACCAACTAGCACTGTTGTTTCAGATATCACATCGCAGATCAGGGTCAGATCCACCCATAAAACCCTGATACAATTTGTACAGCCCTCTAAGGTCATTGATAGAAACTGGCACACTTCACATACTAGGTATTATATCAGGCCTTGACAAAGTCCTTTATTCTGGAGGAATCACAATGGCACCAATGCGTTAGCACAATGTTGTCCCTTAGGTCATATGGACTCATTCTTGAAGCGATTTGATGACTATTTCTCAAAAACATTGCTATGATATCCTGACCTTAACTCTGTGTTCCTTTACATTTACATATTCTATCTATTGTATTTTAGTGCTTTTATGGTAAAGACTGACGATATCAGTTTTTCTGGGAATTATATTGTTTGAGCCATATTCTAAACTGTATTTAAGTGTCTTAAATAAATGTTGATTTTATTGTCAAGACTGATGCAGTCAGTTTCTTAGGAGAATGATAATGTTTGACCCATATTCTGAACTGTATTTAAGTGTATTAAATTAATGTTGATTTTATTATTAAGACTGATGCTGTCTGTTTCTTTCAATAATGATATTGTTTGAGCCATATTCCAAACTGTATTTAAGAGTCTTAAAAAAACGTTAATTTTATAGTTAAGAATGATGGTGTCAGCAAATTATTTGAGCCTTCGTATTACCTGACACAACTTCTCGCCTACTTGGACTGGGTAGCGAGTGATGAGATGGTGAGCTGTTGCCGTAGCGATTACTTTTGTCCACGGTGGAGGCACATGTAATAACAGAAGGTCGAGACACTTGAGGAGTAAATGCTGATGAAGAGGAACTGGTCAGAGAAAGGTTGAGTGGAGCGTCCAATGTCTCTGTGGGAACGCGGTAGGGAGGGGGTGACCCACGCTCGTGGACCGGCACCCCTGGTTGCGATCTCATTACATGTCTGTAACTGTCGACGGATGACACCACATGACGCATCTCCCCATTCATATACACTGGGGGTAAGTCTCGTTCTGCCACATGAGTGATTTGTCTGAAATGAGAAAATGTTTACCACTGATAATTTTACATCTTGATATTTTTTTCTGAAGATTCAAAAAGATTGAATAAAAGTTTGTCAATATAAAATGTTAAGGATCTGAGTGATAAGGCCCTACATTCCAACATTCTCATGCATCATACATGCAGAACATTGCAGACATATGAACTAAGAAGGAAGGATGTCAGATTAATTCATTCTTAAGTATGTGATTGACAGAAAGGAAAAGAAAGAACACAACAATGCCGGTGAAGGACAGAGGGAAAGAAAAGAAACAAACAAAAAATAAAAGAGGAAGGACAGAACGGCAACTGAAAAATTGCATAACTACTACACACTACAGGTTGATAATGCGATAAAAATGCTGTTCAATTGAGTATGTAATTTCAATATCTTTCTTGACATCTGTCTTACAGCTCACATTGGCAGGCAGACAGATGTGAATGGATATCTCTCCCCCACCGCTATCCTATTTCATTACCACACATTCATTGAGAAAACACATTAAGGAACTGACATTAAATATCAAGCTATATCAAAATGTACTTATTTCTATTAAAATATGCATCCATAAAAACAAGTTATTTCCTTAATTGTTATGGTGTGACGTGATACGAAAATGACATGAGTCCCCATAAAATTTGTGACGGGTGACATCGGCGTAGTTTGTGAGCCAAAGTCTGCACGAGGAATGCCAACGACATTCTGATTGAAAAATCTTAAGACTAGAACACACACAAAAATATATTGCCGTACTTCACTTTGGCTAGAAATGAAGTTTGAATTATTTACATTTATAAATCATTAACTATTTAAACCCATTCAGTATGAAAGATCTCAGCATGAGGTAAATTTAGCTATCAATGCCTAACATCTTATAAACAAAGCTGTAAGTACACACAGGTAGGACAAAAGTATATTTATCACATTCTACTCAACTTAAACACCTGAGAAGATATAATGACTCATGCAGTCATCACTGCAATTATCTACTGACACAGGTAAATCAGTTTTGATGATTACCTTATCTCCAAAGTGAAAAAATCACCAGTTGTTCGGATTCTACAACATTGTTTATTAGGTATTTAGAATAATATTATAATTAAAATACCAAGTGATTTTGAAAGTCATAAATCTTAGAAAATGATTTTAATTTAGGGCTGTTAATGGAAATTATATGTAACAAAATTGATATGTAAATGGAGTACACACCTCTGACCAGGCAAGCTTAAGGTTATCGTGTTTATCCCCAAATAAGCCCATGCCCACAAATAAGCCCCCTTCTTCATTTTTGCTAAATCATCAATTTTAAGATCAACAGCTAAACGTAGATTACAAATAACCCTTTCTCAAAGTATTTACACTAGGGGTGGGGGCTCATTTGTGGGTAAGTACAGTAATTTCAAACTATTTGAAAATTCCAATCAGTAGATCAGTACACAGCTCCGCCTCCATTTTTTCTATGAGGAATCCGAAACAGGTCAAAAAGTATGATCAGTAATACAGGTATTAAGTCTTCTGACGTCAGATTGTGCAAAATGTGGAAAAAAAAAAACATTGTGAAAATATTTTCATTCTGATCTGTGTGAAATTTTCAACTTCTTTCACAGCTGAAATCGTAAAATTAAAGTTGTCTTTAAATGAAACATTTAAAAGTGTTTGAAAAGCAACACATGAAAGGATAAGATTATCCAAAGAATTCCTACTCAGAAAACCATTGGCCTGTCCTACTGCAATCTGCAGCTCTGCACATACATGTCATGTGTCAAAGTGGCTACCTTCCATCAAAGCCTACCATGAAGGTGTATAAAAGTCATGGTGTGTAGTAGCACTGCAGTCTGTGATTAACACTTTACTACTGCTACGTCAGGCTAAATACACAGGTAATATGGAACAGACTTTAGATTGAGGCATGACTCACGAAGGTAAATTTATGTTTTAGTTGAATGGGTTTCAATGTTAGCAGGGCCGCCCACTTGTTTCCCTAACATTACATGGAGTTTGTCTTCCCTGTGGCTTATCTTCATACAACAACATTACACTGGCACTGGTCCCAAGAACTCTTCAACAGTTTTAAAGTCCTTCTTCAGGGATATCCAAAGCAACAACAATGAAAAAAAAAGAGACAAAAAATTGTTTTGTCCTATAGGTGAATTCCCAGGTAACATCCCTACACCTGTGCTTTATCCGAAAAAACTTGAATGTTTCTTTGCCACGTGATGTCTTAAACTCATTCATGAAAACATGAGTGATTTGTCGACCACATGGTGTGATATTTACAAGAGACTGGTATCAGATAGTGTTTAGTATTATCCATGTCCCTGTATTGCTGACCAAGATAATGATGCCTTCCCACAAAGCAGAAGTTTTCTTTATCAACCTCTCCACCAAGCTATGTAATTACAACCCTGTGAAAATTAATACCGTGACAAATTCCCATAAACCTATGAAATGACTGTTCAACTAAGTAATAAATAATTAATACCGTAGTCACTTTCCACACACCCACAACGCAACTTTCTTAAATTTGAAATAAAGACAACCGCAATATTAGATACAAACAAATTAAATTACCATTTCCCATCAAGTAATGTAATTACATAATCACACAACCAGCTGTAATTACATAATCACATAAACAAGTGTGAACACACAATCACACAAACAAATGTAATTACACAATTACACAAACAAATGTAATTACACAATTACACAAACAATTGTAATTACACAACCACACAAACAAATGTAATTACACAATCACACAAACAAATGTAATTACACAATTACACAAACAATTGTAATTACACAATCACACAAACAAATGTAATTACACAATCACACAAACAAATGTAATTACACAATTACACAAACAATAGTAATTACAACACAGTAACTCAAACAAGTGTAATTACACTGTCAAACAAACAAGTATTGTTACATAATCACACATACTAGTTTATATAAATCACCACACAAACCAGTCTTAATTTTTAGTCTTTTATCTTTATTAATTAAAACAATATGTTTTAACAAACCGCTTCATCCATTTTAAACAGATCACCATGTAGGAGAACAATCCCTTTTCTGCACTTTTTAAAACATCTGTAAGATTTTGCCACACATGAACAAGGGAAAAGGTTGAAACTAATAAAATTAGAATTCCTGACAAATAAAACTAATTAAACCATTACATAAATCAACATAACATTTCCTAAAAGTAAATGTATTCACAAATCTGTCCAAAGACATCTGACAACAGCTCCTTGTTATTAATTAGATTTTACAACTTTTGGCAACAAATTACTGTAATTATAATATTTTGTAAAACAATATCTTGACAACTTTACAGTACTGGTGATTACACCTTTCTCTGTAATGAGAATGATAATTGTATTTCCTTGTCATATAATATTAACTAGGCCACAGCACATAGACTTGACTAATTATCAATATTGAATCACGTCGGTGAGATATGCAGACTTCAACCTTGGTCAAGCTTTATTTAAACTGGTCATTTCAAAGTATCAAATGTCATGTTTTTGTAACTCTATAGCACTGAACAAGGTTGTGTCTAAATATGATGAATTTTCAGTGACATTTAAAAGAGAGAAATCTTTTATCAGAAATCATGAGGCCAGTAAATAATGGCTGTGACCTCGTCAATGGTTGGACAAAACCTTAACGTCTATGAAATCAGGGTATCTTGGTGCTTTCTGATCAATGTTTTCATATTATTTTTCTTTCTTATACCTGCGTGAACTGGCCTCGACAACTGCTTCTTGATCATTTTCACATTAAACAAATATGATGTCATTTACATCCGGATGTTACGCATTAAAAGAATAGCACAAATTAATAAATGAAACAGTTAAACGTAACAGTTCCGCTTGACAAACGTCAGAAAACTAATTTAATAAAAGAAATTAATTGAGCAAGTTTTACGTTGATAGCTGATGAGTGATGTTCCTGGTGCCAGAAACAACATAAAGAATCAGGTTAAGTAATAAGTCTGTAGAAACGAGACAAGCCCACTACAATACTGCTGACTCCCACAAACACAATCTTCATATATACTTGTCACATCACACAAAACGTCATACATCAGAGTAGAACACACAGACATCTAACAAATTGTCCATACATCTGCACAAAAGCAGACAGACATGAGACATTGTCATGTATTCAGGACAGAAACAGACACTAGACAAACTGTAATGTATCTTTACAGGATCAATCACCAGACATATTGTCATACATCCTGACAGGAACAGACACCAGACATATTGTCAGACATCCAGACAGGAGCAGACACTAGACATATTGTCAGACATCTAGACAGGAGCAGACACCAGACATATTATCAGACATCCAGACAGGAGCAGACACCAGACATATTGTCATACATCTAGACAGGAGCAGACACCAGACATGTTGTCATACATCCAGACAGGAGCACACACCAGACATATTGTCAGACACAAGCAGAAACCAGACATATTGTCAGACATCCAGACAGGAGCAGACACCAGACATATTGTCAGACATCCAGACAGGAGCAGACACCAGACATATTGTCATACATCTAGACAGGAGCAGACACCAGACATATTGTCATATATCCAGGAGCAGACAACAGACATATCATCATACATCCAGACAGGAGTAAACACCAGACATATTGTCATACATCCAGACAGGAACAGACAACAGACATATTGTCATACATCCAGACAAGAACAGACACCAGACAAACCATCATACATCTAGACAGGAGCAGACACCAGACATATTGTCATACATCCAGACATCAGCAGACACCAGACATATTGTCATACATCCAGACAGGAGCAGACACCAGACATATTGTCACACATCCAGACAGGAGCAGACACCAGACATATTGTCATACATCCAGACATCAGCAGACACCAGACATATTGTCATACATCCAGACATCAGCAGACACCAGACATATTGTCACACATCCAGACAGGAGCAGACACCAGACATATTGTCATACATCCAGACATCAGCAGACACCAGACATATTGTCACACATCCAGACAGGAGCAGACACCAGACATATTGTCATACAGTCAGACAAGATCATATACACCAGAATTGAGGTTTTTCATGTAAAACCAATTTTCATGATGTAATACTTACCATAACTTTATGTATATATGAAACCTACTAAAGTTATGGCAATTAATACTGAAATGAAAATAGCAATTCAATGAAAATTTTACAAAACAATTTAAAAACTCTGACCAACTTTTTAATCCTAATTGTTGACATATAAAGAGATCGACAGCTCAAAAGGATTTAACAAATACCAGGTAAAGCAATGCAATCTAGCCAAACATGTGAGGAATGAAACAAAACCAGAAAATCACTTTGTTTTGGATTATCATATATGTGTTGAATAGATCTACACATTATCAACGACAACGTCGGATCCAATGTACAAATATACCAATCATTTTAATGGACCAATACAGCTTATGTTTAAAATGTACCCCACTTTCTATAATAATCAATTTGTAAAATTCTGGAAACTGTCAAATTAATTTCTTCATCAAAAAAGATAAACTTGGTAAGTACATAAAAATTTGTAAAAGATATATATAAAAAAAAAAATTTAAGATGCAAATCTGACTTTAGAAATCACTGCAATAATACAATGGTAAAGCTGTAATCTATATCATTCATACATGATAGCTTTTTAAGCAGTGAATGATAATTCCTCTGCAGCCCTATCCCCATTCCTGAGATGGTTTGGCTGTGTGGGACAATATGCTGAAAGCATTTTGCAACATAATTTTGGCTTGTTTTTATAGCAAGTGGGTTCATGTATTTTGGTAAACAGTATCTCTACCACTGCACGATATATGAGTCATACCTGTAGTCTTGCAGACGTTTGAACACAAAACTCATGTTTGATGAAGTAATCTACATCTTTCTCTGCAAACATTTAGAACAGAAACATTCATTTACCCCACCTCCTCCTATCCCTTTCGTCACGAAAAAGTCTCCCCAGGGTCGTTATCACAGACAAAGTTATATATATACAAAGTATAATCCCCGCCCCTCCTCACCTCCATCACTCCTTCTCGCTGATGATCTTGGACAGCCACAAATTCAAAGTTCCCCTTAAGTATGATCGTGCCTCAAGTGCCCCCCTCTAACCCCCTATCTATCCCTCCTCCCTTCTTCCTGGCTGAGGATCATGACAATTCACATACCTATTTTTCTTCCTCAATTCTCCTTCACGCCAGTCAGTTATCTAAACTATCAAAACATTTAGGGTATGTGTGGAATATGTTCAATCATAATTATGATATCTCTGTTTCCTGGATGCATTTGAATTCAAGGACATTACTAAATTTACTAAATGGCCGTACCATCAATGGTAGTTGGTTACATAGAAGGAAACTTGTGGAGAAAGCATATATATATATATATATATATATACTCTGAGGATACAAACTCTCGCATACATGCACTGTGGTGTATCTGTGTTGTCTGATGAAGAGCTGGAAAAATGTCAATTTGTCTGTCTGTCTCCAAATATTATTGTTTTTTTTCTTCATTTCAGGAATGTAACCTCCAGAATTTGAACTGAGGTACAATAATTCAATTTGTAGATATTTCTTATCACCCTTTCATTTTAAATGTAATTTAACTTCATGTAAAAACAGTTTATAATGTGAATTTATTTGTATACCTATTCAAATCCCTTGGTATAATCCACATAGTATTAAGTCGTGACCTACCTATCTCCGACTTGCACCATGGTCACTCCCCTTTCAAAAAGACAACAAAACTCTTGCCTGTCAATTCCACTAGCATATCCCGTCTGAGTACTAATCCACTATTTCTTAGTCTGCTCCTTTTCCCATGATATCCTCTCTGGGTACTGACACACTAACTTTTTGTTTACCCCTCTCCCCTTGTGTCCCCCTCTGATTACCAGCCTACCAATTCTTGGTTTGCCCCTCTCCCCTTCTGTGCCCCTCTGATTACCAGCCTACCAATTTTTGGTTTGCCCCCCTCCCCTTGTGTGCTCCTCTGATTACCAGTCTACCAATTCTTGGTTTGCCCCTCTCCCCTTGTGAGCCCCTCTGATTACCAGCCTACCAATTCTTGGTCTGCCTCTCTCCCCTTGTGTGCCCCTCTGATTACCAGTCTACCAATTCTTGGTTTGCCCCTCTCCCCTTGTGTGCCCCTCTGATTACCAGCCTACCAATTCTTGGTTTGCCCCTCTCCTCTAGTGTGCCCCTCTGATTACCAGTCTACCAATTCTTGGTTTGCCCCTCTCCCCTTGTGTGCCCCTCTGACTACCAGCCTACCAATTCTTGGTCTGCCCCTCTCCCCTGACGTACCCCTCGGAAAATTGCCATGTCCTTTGTCTAACCCAACAGTAACACTTTTGATACACCCAGAAATCACCTGATCACTGGGCCAATGCCACATTTGTCACCATGTGCTGGGAAGGTAAATTCTCAAGGGTTGTCAATGGGAAACGTCTGTGAGAACAAAGGCCCATCATCATGCCAGGAACACTGAGAATTCCTGACACTTGTCTAGATCCTCCCCCACTACACTTGGCTCAAGGCTTTCTCACCATTTCTACTATATGTATATCTATCTTGAATGTCAATAGAATAGAAGTTCTTATAACACAACCAGTAGAAGATTAGAGTGTGACGTTTTGATGATGTTTGTAGTGCATGAGATGGTAAGGAAAAGACCAACTTTTTCAGCTGCACTAAAATCCTACAAAGCATAGCTGAATTGACTAAAGTACATCATTACCATCTTGTGTATTTTTTGGTCTTGAATCTGTTTACCATCTTATCATACTCTTTCCGACCTTGGTGTATAAAAAGGATTATCGTAAAGCAAAAAAAGTTGGTCGATTCTTCACCATCTTGTACACTATGTACGTCATCGAAATGTCACACTCTAATCTTCTACTGGTTGTGTTATAAGAACTTCAATTGTATTGACATTACCAACCTAATGAAAATGTTCCAAAATAAGGGAGATAACTGTTGTCTATGTGGAAAAAAGGGAAATAACTCATGCTGTATGGAGCAAAAGGTTTGGAGAAAAGCAGAACTTACGTCTGTGTGGAGATACATCGACTCTTGTTGTATTTGTTGACCTGATCTCTGCTAAAGCTCAGTGCCTGTGATAATTCCTGACGGTCCTTTATTCGATCTTGTTTTAACATTTTTGATGGCAATTCTTTACTTGGGGAATCTTGTGTGTCATGGAGATTTCTTTTGTAAATTGGGTCACCTGCAAATAAATGAAAAATAAAAGTATTTAAACAACAGGATTATTACTATTTTCTTGTACAGCCATACATTCTTACTTTTGATCTAAATATATCTAAGTGGATTTTTAATCTATGTCCTAGCATGAAACAGATTTCCTTTTCGCAATATCTTTCTAGTCTTGTATCTACTTTAGATCATCAGGTTACAATACTGCACTGTACTTTTATAAAGTGGAGGAAAAGAAACAAGATCAAATGTTCCTTGTAATATAAGTATGTATATCTTCCCTCACTTATCTACAAACGTTGAAACCAAAATCACATATTTCATTACTGAATCTCTTGCATTTTCCTTAAAAGTTGATTAAGAATTTCAATTAGCGACGTAATATTACAGATAGGCCAATACCTTTCTCATCACCTTATATTTGCAAATTTCATTTAAAAAAAAGGTCATCTTTTTAAACAGAGAAAATGTAGATTAGAATATATTATTTAATTACATTTACACAATACTTTCAAGCCAGGTATTATTAATACCTTTTAAGTAGGAAAAACACTTCAACCTGAAGTGACAGTGCTGAGGCACAGATAAAAATATGTGGGATACAAAAAAAAAACCTGTTTTATTTCTCAACGGAAACTTATGTCGTGAATGTCACATAGAAATCACTCTATTGTAGACACTACTTAATAATATTTCATATCCCAGTGTCAAGATATGTGTCTCCATGTCTAATGGTTATAGATCAGCTTACAGGCCCTAGCTGTCCATCCATACACATTCAAACTTGCCCCCACATGTGGTCTGTTAAGGATGCTATATCCCTATTTATGTGAGAATTTCTGTCCGTATGAAACTAAGACGGCTTGTATGCATTGCTTTGATTTCTACATCATAAAATGCTGATATTTAGTTGATTGTATTACGAGTTTTGAGATGATTGTGTTGTTAAGATGGTTATGAGATGGCCCAGTGATGGGTTAAGGGTTTCACTGTCTCCCAGAAAGTCTGGCTGACCGACATAAGCGACGTTGATGGCAACCTACCACAGTCGCACAATGATAATAATTCATAGTTATTTCACACCTTCTTAAGGAAAAATGTAGGTAAACACAGCAAGGTAGACATCAACTGTGACCTGGCGGCTGGCCTCACCTGATTTTATGAATGAAAGAGACTTATGTAAACACAGGGCACTGGAGTATAAAATACGGAGTCCAATGTACAGCGGTCCTGGTTTTACATTTAGAATGAAGGGGTAGACCTGACCTGTGAGAAGAGACATGAAAGGATGATTGTGTTCCCACAGGGGATACACATTAAGTAGTCATTATCACATAGAGAAGGAGGTTGACTGGCAACACTGAGCCAAATTATATGTAGACAGGTGGTTCCTCGTCTTATATTGTAACCACACCTGTGGCTGGAACTGCATCCTTGTGTACCTCCAAACCCCCCAACACACCCCCCCCCCCTCCCCCGATCAGTCAGCCCCTCCCCCTTTTCACTATCCCTTCTCATCCATCTTGCCTTTTATTATTTACCTTTATAAAGTTTGACCAGAGGGACAGGGACCACATTAATTTTTCTGCAATTTTTCAAAAAAGTCAGTGATTTCCAGTCTGTAAGCTTTTATTTGCATTGAAGACAAGATTGGGGATGTGACATATATTTATGTAACATAACACATGCATTATATTGTTTGTCTATTTAAACACCTGAAGTGTCTTCTAAAACGAATTTATATATTTCTTTTTTGATCCTATAAATCCAATCCAGCAGGCCAACAATTTACAAAGCTCTATTGAAAACCATTGAGGGAGCTGATAACAGCACACATGCTAAATACGGTATATCCCAACCCACTTTTCTAAAATAAAAGTACATAACCACAGTCATAACAAACAACCAGAAAGCATTAAAGCTGAATTATTTCAATACCATCCTCTTCCATTTAGGTTGAAATGTCTCCAAAATCTTTTTACAACATTTCATTCATACCCAAGTCTCCCAAATGTAATCACACCTGTTGGATCTGAGGAATTAGAATAAACAGATTGTAATGGGTTTTAGGAGGACCATAGTATTATGTATATTCTCCAGTGAACTGAGATATATTAATGCTACATCAGTTCTTAGCTATAACATTTTATCAGTGAGTTCACATCAAGATCTTCAGTTATCTGAACAAATACAAATTTAATCAAATTTACGAAATTCTAGCCTAACAGTTGGATGTATGTTAAATATTCTACATTTCAACCAATCAGCACATTCCTTATCTCATTATTTTGGGAAAAAAATTGTGCACACTCTTGTAAATGTTCAAGAATATCTCATTTTCAAATCTAACAGTCAACCAATCAACATTTTTTATCTAAATAATTTAGAAACGGATACACAAGTCGAGATTTTTTTTATGCTTTTCGAACCCAAATTTTGTAAATGTTGGATAGATAGTATTTCACTTGAGTGAAAAAGAAGAAAATGTTTGCGGAGAAACAGCGACTGTTTGTGATAGAGACAGGAAGGATGGTGCGACAGGATATGTATGATGTGTAGATATCACTATTGATGTTCTCCTATTGATAAGGATAGGATCCTGCGGAGACTAGCTGCTCTGCTGTTGGAGATAAGGGAGGCGATATACCACTATCCCTCAGAGCTGTGAATCACTCGGAAACACAGACAAATACAGCTTCCTGTAGCTCTCCACAAAGGAGGAAGGAACTTGTATCTCATTGTCAACATCTTAACTACTTAATTCCTGTTAATCCAGTGAAGGGGATGAAATTCGAGGAACAGGAAGGATGAACTGGTGACGTGGCTGGCACACCAGTGAAAGGCAAATTCAAACATAAACTACGATAAAAAACACTTAACGATGCAATTGTAAAGTGGAAAAATAATTCATCACATCTGTGGACCTTTGCCCACAACACCAAAAACATCTCAACAGTCCTATGTTAATCTCTTTTTATTACCCATATAATGAGATAACACTGTGATGGGGAGGGCAACAAAGTCTTTTTATAAGTAATTAAGTCCTGGTATTAATCGGCAGAGATAAACGAGCTGGACTTCAATAGTAGCTTGGCTCAGTGATTGGGTAAGGTGTCCCTATATGTATCATACTTGGTTGCTAATTAAATACATGTGTCATTTAAATCAAATTATCTATATCAAACGTAGAAAGTTCTTTGTACTTGAATAAAAAAAAATTCAGAAATGATACATTAGAGTGACATTATACTGGACACTGAGAATTTTACCACAATACTGCTAGATTAATTTTTATGTAGAGTAAAATTTTCTCTCAACTTTGTACACATGTTAGTGATAGTTTCTATATGCACTGTATCACATCATGTTGACAAATAGTCTCTGTATATCAAAATATTGTATATGTGTCATATGAAACATATTAGAAACAGCTCACAGTTGTAAGATTAAGAAACTAAACAATCCTAGATGTATCCCCCCCATCTATTTATCCAGGTAGCTGATAGGACATAAGATAAAAAAAAAAAAGTAAAGGCAGTTAAGTACAGTTGGTGCAGCAGGCCAAAAAATTGAATTAACACGGAGAATTAGACTGCTTAAGTATGTCTGGGTATGGGAGGAAGGAATGCGAGCAGTGTAGCTAATTATAATGGCGTATTCACAGGTGTCTTAGCTGCACCTCCGCCCACTGCACCATCATAGCCACAGACTTCATAGAACCTTGAAACTCAACCAACTTTCAAAAACTCTTCCATGAACCTGGACCCCTGTAAACCACAATCCTTTAATATTTAACATTCGCTCCAAATCTTCAAAATATTTTCAAAATCTCTGCTGCAAACCTACTTAAGCCTCTAATTTCCACCTTCCAAACCTGTAAATTAAAACTCTTTATAATCTGAATCTGTTGTAAACATCTTGTGCTGCATTTTAAACCAAAAAAAAAAAAATCCACAAAATACACACAAATTTACACTGAGTAAGACACTACCAATCAAGGTTAAATATCAGTATTATTCAAATGAGACAAACTTTTTTCAAACTTTTTCCAAATTGTTTCATTATAATTGAGAATATAGGAAATATCCCATAATTTTTGGGGCTTTTTTTAGGGGTGGGGGAAGGTCTGTTTTAAATTATAGATTTAAGTCTGATAAGAATATATATGATGCATGACTCTCCATAATTTCACAGAGTCAATTCTTTATCAATATTTCATCAGTGTTAAATTGACAAGTCAATACACTGCCTAGAAATATAATCATACCATTTTTCTCCTAATTAGCCTGTATTTATCATTGTTAGTTTGCATTGTTAGCTCCTCTGAATGGCCAGAGTCATCTACAACAGGGTCTCCTTTTAGTAGCTCAAGCAGGGTACCTCAGTGAACAACATATAGGAGGCCCATAGCATGCCATCTAGAGCAAATCAGGTACAGTGACTTCTCCAAGGACACAACCATGAGAGTACAGACCGACCTGTTTTTCAGCTTCCTATGTAAGCGAACCACTATGAGTTGGGAGCATTTACCATACACCTTGCATACATCAAGTTACGTACACAAATCCTTTGGCTGACTGCAAGAGCCACTGCAGTCCCCATTTTCATCCTTCGAAAAAGCTAGGGAGGTCAACAAATTACTCCTTATTCCAGGACAATAATGCAATAGCATTAGTTTTGAGGCATATTAAGCAGCAGTACATAAGAGTGGGCTTATTACCAGACATGGGCTTATTAACAGACAGGGGCTTATTGTCAGACGTGGGCTTATTAACAGACACAGACTTTTTGTCAGACATAGATTTATTGCTGTCTAAATATTACCGGTATTATTTAACTGTAACAAAATGACCAATTGTCCTCCCCCTTCCTCATCATTCGACGCAGGTATTTATATTGCAGGTGTATAAATATACATGTATATGCAAACACTGTATCGCCAGCAGTGAAACTAAGTCAACATACACATTCATCATTCATAAATATTACAAGGATAAGAGTGTGATAAGTATA